TACACATGAGTACACACAAATCCTGAAAAACTAAATTAGATTAAAAAAAAGTATTGGAAAAAGCCGTGCTGACACCTTGACATCAAGGTAATGTAGAGGCCTTGGTGTCTGAGGATCACAGCTGCAGTATCTGATCCGTCACACAACTAGGCCCGTGTAGGAAAAAATTACAGCGCTGACTTAACATTTAAAGGCAATGCTAGATTATACATGTGTAAGATGAAGCCAGAGCACCATTTCCTCTGATTAATTATTTGTAGTTAACCCAATACAGAGCCAGTAAGGGCCCTCATTTCTTGGTTAGGGACAGGCACAGACAGGCCAAAAGCTGTTGGGAAGAGCCTTGAGTTTTTTTTCCATTTATTCAAACACTCCCTTTCTGACGGTTTTTCAAAACTGGTTATTACATCTAACCTTCACCCATCATTGCCTGGCTCTATCAAACAATATTAGTGACACTGGCTGTGATCCAATGCCTGTCTATATAAACTCTGGCAGCTTTAGAGCTTAGGTGAAAACAAACAGGAGGATTTTCCCCTGTGAGCTGGAGGAGTCCTGAGCGCTCAGTGCATGGCTCATGTCATGTCAAACCTCCCAGTAGACCCTAATAATATCTGGTCAAACAATAGGCTAGCCTGCAGATAGTTGTGTTGCCCTTATTGCCACTGTTTAACCTAACCACGTTAAAACCATAAACTGTATATGGTTGAAACCCAACACACCGGCCCACACCATCCACAATTAGGCCTAATTAGACACACAGGTTATTATCATTCACCAGATCAGGATGGAATCAGACAGAAACAGTGGCATTGAAGATGATACCCCATGTCAAAACAGGAGCAATCCAAGATTACATGTTTTTCACTTTGACAGAAATTAATATGGAGCACCACGGTAGTTAACATGGTAAAGCAGGTAACCTATGTACTATAATATGTAACCTATGGGCCTAGCACAGAACCCAGGGTTCAGATCCAACCTGTTCTGCTTTGCTGTAAACCATCTCTTCTCTCTCCCCTTTTCCTGTATGTCTAGCCTTTGACTGTACTATAGAGTGCAGGTAGAAAAACTATATTTCCTTAATGAAACATAAAAGTAATCAATGTAATTTGTTGTAAACTTAATCTAAATAAATAGAAAACAAGAGCATCAAGTTAGAGATTAACTTAGTTTTCCAAACTTCAAATGTCAAATTTCAACAGTTGAACCCAACAAACAAAAAAATAAAATAAATCATCCAGAAACCAAAATATAGGCAACTGAGAAGAACTGTGTCATTTGAGAATATAATTTGAAATCTGGATAAATAAAGTTTTATAAACATAACTGTCTTTGTGTGACTGGAACTTTATTGGTTCTCGAGGACCTTACTGTGACATTATCCCAGTGCTTTTCCATCAGCCTGAGGACAAACTAGTCTCTGTAGTTTAACAAGTGAAAGTTCATGTCTCAAAGCAAAACAAAGCAGGACAAAGGATCACATGTCACTTTGGCATGGGCCAACAAGCTTGTATTAACTTGTATAAGTGAAAATCATAATGTATCAAGACAGCTGAGAGATGAAGAAAACTTTACACTATGTTACATTAAATAACACGTGATATGTCCATGGAGGATCTATGTGGTGTGTCTTTAAGTTGGTATGTCATTGCAGTACAACGTCTAACAAAAACAATATGTGTTGGTTATAAAACTTAACCTTTGCACTGTTACCAATGTATTGTATTGTATTGTATTGTATTGTATTGTACTGCTAAAGTCAATTTGTTCTCAAGGCACGTTTTCCAGAGCCGATCAAGTACTTTATCATCTCATGAAAACCAGATAAGAATCCAGGATCCTTAGCTTCTCATTTGGCAAGAAATCGGATCATGTGCACGTCCACTTCACATTCCCTAGCTAACCAAAGCTAGCACAGGTGTGACTCAGCAAGTGTATTAACACCTTCCTCTCCCAATAGCAGCAAATGGAAAATGTCTTTGTTTTATGTTCCATAACAGGTGGAATATAAAATGTACATTTAAGTTCCCTTAATGCTAATAGAGAGTTTTGTATTGCAGTCGACCTTGGCCTTGACTCATGAGTGCATCGTGTAGCTGAATGATGACCGGCACTTACAAGACAGCAGAGGGTCACCCAGTGAGAGATTCCACTGTGTCCCATTTCCAAGTGAGAGCAGAGGTGGTCTGTGGTTTACACTGTGAGGTTAACACTGTGCAGGCTGGGAATGTCAATCCTGGATTGATAATGGCACAATTGACACATGTTAGGTCAGTGTTACATTTGTGCAATGAGAGTCTCACTGAAGACAGATGGGAGTATCCCAATCTCAGAGCCAAGTGAAGATCAAAATGACAGTGTCTGGTAAATGATTATGTACAACCTGTTGTCATGGATACACCAATTAACAGTCAAGACATGACTGAGTGAGCCCTTAATGACAGACTGGCTGCACCTAATGCATAACTGATTCATTTTAATCAAAAATACATGTGAGAACAGAAATTGTATTTCAAGTTGAGGAAGTCAAACTTGATTTGAAGCACCCAATCTTTCAAACAAAAGAACAGACATAAGGAGGCATGCCCTCTTTATCTTTAGACTGTGATTTATTAGACTTTGTCTTCAACCGAAATCAAGATGAGCAAACTAAGCTTTTCTGCTTTTTAAGACATCATGATCGCATTTCATTTTAACCTTTCACATTGTATTGGTGGATGCCAGCCTTTTCTTAGGCTTTACACAATGTACCCATGTCATGTCTACAGCTAAAAATAGATTTAAAAATATGCCTGTCAGTCCACAACAAGCCAAAGACTAATTATGTCTCTAAACTCAGTTTGGACAAAGGAAAAAATCACAGTAGCACGATAATAATATATGTATTTAAAATAAAAAAGGATTTACAAATATAAATCATTAACTGCAAGAGGTTGTTTACATGGCAGCAGTGTACTGGTAGAATAAGCCATGCATTCCACCTGGTTCACCATGTACTGTAGCTCACTGGCTGCCAAACCAGTTTTTGTTGCGTAATAATGTTCAATGAGGTATGTTCAGGATGACTTTCTGACTGCTGGAAACACCTCGAAACACCAGACACCTCGAGAGTGCGTCTGCCATGAATGTGTTGCCTCTACTCTCAGCTTTCACCAGCAGACAAACAGCCTGTGAGCCTGGCACATACCACAGGAAACATGATACAACAAGGCCGTATTTTAGATCAATGCAGAAATGTGAGCAAACGTGAGCTGGCTATCTGTTAGAGAACATTATTTGTGAAGGTTTCCTTGTCCATTGAAAATAACAGTAATAATACAGACTTCAGTTTGTCTTACAGTAGGTGAATAATCATGTTGGCCCAACCCTGAACTCAATGATTCGTAAACACACAAAACATGTGCACTTCTTATTCACTGCTGCATACTCTGAGTGACATGCAAGCAAACGTACAGACACACACACACAAACACACGTAGACAGACACATCAGCGCTAATGGGATGAGCTCTTGAGTGCAATGTCTCAGACATACACTATGACTGCATTTCAGCAAAGACCTAAAAAACTGATTGCATGATCATTTTTTAAAACTCCCACGTTCCTGATTTTGGAATATTTACCACATTTTTTGGTTTATTACTCAACAGAGGCATACTGGTCAGCATAAATGTTGCTGACTCAATATTGTGCCGATTCAGTTGTTGTCACACTATGTTTACCAGGGAGAACATCTGAAACAATTAGCAGTCCATGGCATCAACAGAAGAAAAATATCCCAAACCATCTTGGTAATCAATTCATCGTAAATGCTATTTTGAGCCTCTCATATATGGAGATTGCGTGCTCCTGTTTTGATGTGTTTCTTCCTTACTCCAATGACAAGTACATATCTCATTGTATGCTCTTTGTGCATTGTCCCTTCTCAAAAACAGAAAAAATAAAACATCTAATATTAAATTGAATATTTTTTGGATCTGGACTTGAACATTAGTATAGACAGAATGATTATTATAGAAGATAATCTGCATATGTATCGACAATGAAAGTAATCATTAGTTGAAACCTTTCCAGAGAGATGTCTGACCCCTTATAGAGGAAGCACAGAGATGGATTAACTTTGCCCAAAATCCAGTGTGCTCTGTTTATCATTGCCACCGACCAGTGGCCTAAATACTTAATACCAAGGCAAACATGTTTGGACCATTTACTAATCTATTGTCTGTTTGAGATTAAATACATTGTTGTCACCTAAAGGAGATTTCAAATCAGGCTTGGCAGGACCTTCCTTTGTCTTCTGTTTACACAATTCATATTGGTCATTGGAAAAAAAAACAGGTGGGCATAACTGTGAAGTCTGACATCAAAGTGGATTTTAAATTGAGGACCTTTAGGACACGTTAAATTATAATCCCTTTGGAAATAAATATGACAAAGATAGACGGAACTTTTGTGAGGTCAAGTGCCTATAGCAATACTACATAAATATATTTATAATTTGAGTTATTTACAGATCCCTTTATTATTTTTGTTTAAGTGTATTTTTCTTTACCATGAATTTAGGTGTACTGCTCTCTTCCTGGTCTAGTTGCTGCTGTGACACGTGTAAATGTGTTTTTGACACCTGGACAGGCCTACCTGGTTGGGGTCTCCGGCCTTGAAGACGTGACAGGACATCTCAGACTCTGGGTTGTCAGGCTGGCCCCGCAGGAGATAGGCAAAGTAGGTGAGGTCATTGCTGTTGTGGATGAAGCGAGAGATGAGCTGTGCTTTGTGTTCAAATATAAAGACTGAAGAGTTGTTGCTGTTGGAGGGCACACATCGGATGAAGGGGGGGTTGAGGGCCAGCTGGACCTCTCTCGGCTGCACCACGGGGCCGCAGTCGCCTTTCTCACATTTCCTCCGGATCTCCGCCACCAGCCACGGCAGCATGGGCAGGGTGGACCGCCTGTCGAGCGAGGACCAGCCGATGTAAGTCAGGGAGAACGTCCTGTCCGACTTCGGGGGGCTGCTCTCCCTCTCATCCTGACTCTCCATGTCGACTTTCAGCTCGTTGACAGCGATGTGGGACTAAAGACTACTTTCAAAAAAGGATGTCGATGTAGATCGCAGTAGTTGTGGTTAGTTTGCAACAGTTTCCTTGTCCACATCCACAGTGAAAGTTCCTACAACCAAGCGATTTGCTACATGCACAACAACATGTGCTCGCCCTGCCGATCAGCTGCAAAATCCATGTTATCAAAATATCTCCGATGCACAGTTTCTCCTTCTTGGATTTCAGGTAAATTAACTTATAAGGTCATGTATTTTGTACCTTGCTTCCCTGCTCTGGCGCTCCACTGTTTGCATGGGCAGTGACTCAAAAAGCTCAACAGTCCCGTACTGTACTGTACTGTCCCAACCCAGCTTGCTTGCTAAAACGTGGCTGTGGATTGCTCCTGTGTAAACACAAGTCGCTCAGAGAGATCTGATTTATTTTAACTTTGCTCCTGAGCGCATAAAGGGGGGTGCATTAATATAGACCCCTTAAATCCTATAAGCCATGACGGCGAGGTTGCATATATCTAACATACATACATTGATGCTTGTTTATCGCCTTTAGATGCAGTCTTCCAAATGTGATCCTTTCTTCCACAACGCCTTGGAGGCGGAGCGGCTGTTGCGCGTTGACGACCCGCCCATCCAGCCCATGTGCTGGGGGAGTGGGCAGGGCGCAGCGCGGTGTGAAACGTGACAGGACCAAGCTCCACCTTCCCCTCCTGTGCAGAATAACTGGAAAGCCTCTTCCATGGTAGTGTTTGGACATTTTTTGCAGCCCCCAGCAGGACCATAAATCTGTGAATTGTAACTACCTAACTGCCAGAAGTGGAAGAAGTAGCCTACAAAGTTAAACTACCAGAGTCTGGGAATACTATGTTCCAAGTAAAGGTCCTGCATTCAAAATGTTACTCAAGTAAAAAAAAGTACAAAAGCATTGGCATCAAAATATACCTAGAATACCTAACGTAAAAGTAGCCGACTCTCATTATGCAAATTGGCCCATTTCAGGATAATAATCTATGTTTTGATTACTGATGCATTAATGTGTTTATTAAAGCTGGTAAAGGTGCATATAGTTGTAATGACTTTGTGTAGGGTAGCTTTTGAGTGTTACTCCAGGTGTGATTAAAGTCTTATTTAAGTGATGTTTATACTTCACATTTGTATTCCAAATCTGCAAAGTAACTAAAAGTATTAAATACATTTAGTGGAATAAAAGTACACTATTTACCTCTGAATTCTAGTGGGGTAGAAGTGCAAAGTAGAAATACATTGAAATACTCAAGTAAACTTCCTCAAAATTGTACTTAAGTACAGTACTTTAGATTAGAACATGTACTTTTCCATACTGCTAACTGGTACATTAAGCACACGTTTTCAAGACCAGACTTGGCCAAATAATATGTTGGCAGAAGTATTTGCAGTACTCTACTTAAGCAGTTCTTAACTAAATGTTTACAAGCAGTCTTGGAAAGCTGTACTCACATCTGATATCCTAAGATGTTCCCATCTACCCAATGCAATCATGTTAAGACGCCGCCTATCCCCAAAATAGTATCTGTGCCATATATAACCTCATCACTCAGGCAGGAGCCACTAGAGCTCTGCTACCCTACAGACCTCACGTCACCTTACTGTATGTGTATACACATTAGAAATGTAACTGTATACCACCAGTTGATGAAATAATATGGTTGTTCTTTTTTTGTTATGAGTGTTGACATTGTATCTAATTGACTGGTTACAATGCATTGCAGCGAAATTTGAAATAAGATGGTAATCCTTTCCTCTATGGTTCACAGAATAGAGTAGATAACATGGAGCAAATAAGGGATGGTGGCTAATAGTCTTAATAAGTACCTTACATGTATTCTGATTACTGAAGTTGGCAACAAATAACCATGCAATGAAGATTTACATTTAATAATTGTTTGCATCATTGTTGTATTGCATGAAGAGAGGACTAACCACAGAACAAAAAAAGCAAAGGTTTCCACGGTAACGAACAATAGCCATTTCAGCATTACCAAGAAAATAACACAACAAAGTAAGTTTTCATAATTTAGATGTATAGAAAAAGCCCTGTAAAAATGTTGTGTGGATGATTTCCCTCCCAAACAGAAATAGCCAACAAGTAAAACTATACAGTACATATCCACCCATCTCTAACCTCAGGTAAACAATACAGCAATATGGCAAAGATCATGGTTTCACTATGGAAATGTAATTAAATTCTGTGCAGTCTAAAAGAACAAAACCAAACGGAAAACCATATCATTGTTAACCATTATGTAAAAAAGAGGCACACTATTCATATTGTTTGTTTGACAGGGTTTGCAGTATTATCAGTGCACTTAGTGGCAAGTTTATTAGGTACACCTAGTGAAAAATAAAAATACAACGACACTTATATTAATACAACAATCCTGAAAAGGCATCCTACATTTGCATAGGTGATATGGTATATATGTTTTTCTTCTGTTTTAGAGGGGTGTCGATGTAACTATTTGTTCATTTTGGAACTTGTGTTGCTGTTGAATTGTATTGCATCTCTCTGTATATTGCAATACAGTTTAACAGTACCTCTCTTCACCAGAACAAAAAAAAATCATATTACAGTATATGTAGTATTACAGACTGACGTGTATTAGACTGCATTAGCATTCATTGTACATTAGTTAATGGGAGAAAGTAAACTTATGTATTTGCAATGAATTAAAAAAAGTGATGACAAGCATTTATTTTACTATTTTAAACAGCTGGACTTCCTAATGATAAATAATGTAGGAGCTTAAGTCATATACAAAAAATGTAAAGTGCAAAGTAGACATTTGCCCTAATATTTATCCACAATATGAGACAGAAGACACACACCTGTGCCAAGCTGTTCTACCAATGGTTTCATGTAAATTGGGGTGTCATTTCAACCAGCTCCTAAGCTCCGATGTGTGCTTGCATCCATCACACAGTCTCCATAACGGCTGCCATCTCCTTGAACTGCTTGTGGAAGTTCTGCAAAGGAAAAAGAAGAATCATAAAAATCAAGCATGTAATAAATGTTACCAATAACACTACATTCACATCAATAAATACAGACCTGGAACTGAGGAATGGTCATTTCAAAAGACTTCTGACAGATCTGCCCAGAGGGTTCAACGATTTTTAACAGAAGAGACACGTATGGGGAGTTGAGAGAGCGGCAGGTGTCGGAGCTCACTGCCATGCCGAGCTTCCACTGCATGTCCACTAACTAAAAAAAAACACGTCTCATTAGCCTTCAATTAGACAAAAGTGTGTTCAGGTCACCAGTAATGTTTTGAAAATGAGATAAGGACATACCTGACCGATGCTAAGCGCTGACTCGACCTCCTGCTGAGCACGGACTGATGCACCGTGTTCACTCCACAACCTGTGCAACACCTGAAGGGAAGCTTTGGGCCACTTACTGCTGCCTTCTTCCAGCCTCTTCACAAGGTCGTCCCCAGAGAGGTTACTCTTCCCAGCAGACCTGAAGATACAAAGGCTAACTATCACACTTTACGATAAATGTAAATATTTACGCATGATTTTGCCTTTTGTCTGGCAAATTAACGAAGATGATTGTAAAGCTACGATACGCAATTAAGAGCCAATGACAAGGCTTGCTCTGATCTAAGGGATATTACTCATCTGTTTGCAACTTATGACAATAAAAGCCTTGAATCCTTGAATGAATCCTTCAATCCTATTAAAACAATATACTTCAAAAGGGGCAAACAAAAATCAACATGTGGGCCTTTAAAAATAATATAAGTAATACATGATAGCTAGACACACACATTTTAACATTACATTTTAACATGCAAATTAAGAGGCACATAATAATAATAATAATAATAATAATAATTGGACAAAAGATACCTGAATGTTAACAAGAGAAATCTGATAATGTTCTGCAGAGCCTCATGGTCACATCTGACTCCAGCTCTCTGGAATGCCTGCACAGAAAAGAAAAACAACTTATAAAAGAGGAACTTGGGAAGATGGGTTACTGTAGGTTAAAACATATTTGAAGTAAACATTGACTCACATCAGAAATTTCAGCTGAATCTACTCCTTTAGTTTGCCCTTGAAGGTAAAACAGAATATGGCGACACTGTGGAAAATAACAGATTGGTTATCAGAAGTGTAGCATGAGCTCTATGACAACCACATCCTGTTTGACTTGTGCAGAGTACACACTATATTGTATTTAGCATCTGATTGTACACACTGAGAGGTTTGCTCCACTACAACTTGGTTTAATGTCAATTGATAAACCCATTCTGTGCCTAAGGTAATCAAACAAATACTACAGGCCAACATGATGCTGAGTCAATCATTTGTATACAACCCAATATCACAAATGTGCCTAAGCGGTATTTGTGCGACTACTGGTGCTTCTATTCTAAGCACTTTTGTATTTAGTATTAATTTAAGATGATGTTGTATTCTAATTTACCTTTTTGTAGATGTATACTTGTTTGCAAACTGTACAGGGATATAAATAATCAAAGATGCATCATACTCACTGTTTCCGCCAACAGATCTGGAGAAAGTTTACAGATGCTGTCCACAACTTTGTTGACACCTGAAACACAGGAGTGAAGTAAGTCACTGTGTCTAAATATGTTAATTCTGGTGCCTCTGTCATATCTGCAATACATTAATGATACAATGTCTTTATTTATGATATAACTGTTAAAAATAGTAGTAAATATATCCGTTATCATTTTCTTTGACTCGCTCTAAAGTCATTACACATCTTTCTTTTCTTAGATGTTTATTCAGTAAACAGACAGAGTGTAAAATATTCAGGACAGGAAAATTGAGCAGACACCAAGGTATAATAAGGTTCAATACATAAGAATAGTAATTGTGATTTTTTTTAGTATAGAAAAATAAAGAAAACAATTACTTTCAACAGCCAAGGCACAAAAGGTTATCATTCATGTCATTAAATATCTTCCAATGCCAATGGCTAACATGTATGTAAGCACTTTAAAGAGATTTATTTAACTTAATTATATAAAGTATTTATCAGATACATTGTTTCCAGAAACAATATCATGTATTCAGATTATTCTGTTATGCTCTCAGTAGAAATCTCCTGTGATGTGCATAACCAGTGCATCCCATATAGTCCCCAGATCACCCTGAACATCAGACTGCATTGGTATTTGATTAAAAATCGAAGATGTTTGCAGCGATTCAGTGATCTCTTTAACTAGGCTAGTAGGTCAAAAAACCAATGCAAAAAAGTAATCTATATGTGTGTGCTCTGACCACTTTTAAGCTAACACACACTTACTGTGCCACAAATATTAACCGTCTGCAGGATGATCTTATAGATATTATGCCATTTCCGAGCTTACTCGTGTGTTTTCAAAACAGATGCAGCTAGTGGTATTAATGGGAAGCACGAATTTGTACCGACAACAGTCAACAGATTTGATTTAGTATAGCAAAAATAACTACCCGTTTTCGGTTAGGGTAAGGTTGGGTCAGGTTATGAATTAAGAAAGGTTTTGGGGTTATGGTCCCCTGACGTTAAGGAGAACTCATAATAACATGGTTTACACTTTATACAGTATGGGTTTACACACCTCCAGCTAGCTACATAGTTAAGCACACGCTAATGACAAAAAACAATACATTGCCTGGGTGATGTACCATCTTCTTCCCCTTTTTAGTCAAACTACAATTTACTGAAAAGATTGTGATGCTACATGAAGTTGAAGACCCACCCTGAGACTCCTCTAATGCTGGCATCTCCTCTCACAGTCAGGTTGCAGGATACACCGTCGTGATAATTTTGCCACTTTAGCGACTTTCTCGCTTGGCAATTTGAGGACCTTACTGTTATTATATTGACAAGGACAGCAAGCTTTTGGCCAGAGAAAACTATTCTCCATTGAAGAGGATTGAGAATGTTTTTCTTCTTTTCTGTTTGTCAATGGATCAAAATCATCGTAAAATGTGTATACCGCCACCTACTGGTGAAGTGTCAGTTTCTTCTTCTAGGATTTTACTAAGACAGCAGCGCCATCGTCTGGCGGCTTCTTCTTGTTGAAATAAATATGTATTATTATGTATTTGATTGATTTGATACCCTGCTGAGAAGTCCTTTCTCTGGTGTACAGTCTGAATAAAGAATATGTGCTGTTGAAAGACTTTTAAACGCTTGAACTTATAAATGCAGGGATTTCTCATTGCCAGGAAAAAAGGGTAGTTTTATTCAGATAGTAACAGAAACAGAGAAAGGACTTGGTCAGCATGCAAATACAAGGTCTTAATTATCCTCACGATATAATTAGAAGGGAACAGCAAACACCAGTGTGATTTAGGTGGGAGTATGACTATCCTCCTGGACAAAGTTATAGGGGTGAGGGGGGGGGGGGGGGGGGGGGGGTGCCAAATCCGGCAGCACCAATACCTGGTCTGCCAGATTGAAACATAAAAAGTCCTGTACCTTTCTGTATGTTTATTTCTTAAAGCAGCGAACAGAAATCTTTGTCCCCACTAACAATTTGTTTTTATTGTTATTTAAATGTGTTGTTATTGCCAAACATCTGTTGATGCAATATTTTTTATATCATTTTTTTTTTTTAAAGTAATGAATTTAATTAAATCACTTTATTTTATTAGTTTTAGTAAAAATAAATGTCCATATTAAATATCTTTATATATTTTTTCAAGTTAGTTTTTATGATTGTATTAAATATTATATTATTATTTCATTGTATTTATTTCATTATCGTTTTATTTAATTATTTTAATTATTATGTAATTGTTATTTTATTATTTTTAAATTGTTATTATAAAGACACGTGCACTTTCAGAGCACAGACTACAAGGCTAACAAGCAAAACAACATTGTGTGAAACACGCACAGACACAGACATTCATAAATATATAAATGTAAGTGAATTTTTTTTAGAAATACATTAAAGATTTATAATGTGTTCCTTTTTTATTCTCAACATATACAATATTTCTTTATTTCCATATTCATTAATTTGTTCTTGTGATTATTTATTCATATATGTATTTCCACATTTATAAAAAAATTCCTGTATGTATTTATTTTTGTGTGTTTATTTATTCCTGTTTTTATTTCAACATTTGTGTTTTTTCACATTTATTTATTCTTATATTTTTGTATTCCTGGATTTATGCATTTATTTATTGTGTAACTTGTGTCATGTTCTGTCCTCCATACCTGTGTGCTCGTTGTGTGCAAAAAGGTACAAATTCAATCGAAATCACATCACAGCAAGACCTTTAATTGGGCGTTCATAGTTTTGAAAACACATTGGTGGTCCAGAGATGATATCTATGCATTGGTTTTTCATGCAGGTGCTTGAGGTACAATAGGCTACTCAAGAGAAGGAAATAATTGTCTTCTGCTATGCTGATGTTAAATCCTGGAGAAATTGTCCACACCACTTTTTCTAACAAAGTGACGCCCATGTATACAAACATATTTATATTGCAAAAATACAAAAAAGAGATGACAATACATACAGCGACTGTATAAAATAGTGCTCCACAGCCCCAACCGCTGGGAATCTCTCACGCCCATGATCCTGGAATGGTCCACTGTTGGGTGGAGGGTGTAAGTAGTACATTCATCTATCCTTCATTTAGCCGATTAAGAAACATGACACGACTACCTAGGCTGGAAACATATTACAATTCACAAATCAATATATGTTACTTATTTGATCTTGTCGGAAAGTACCGGGTATGGTATATTTGTTGTTTATAAAAAAGTGTGTACCCCTGCGCATTACGTGAATGCCAAGTTCCATTTCCCTGACTCGGAAGCTATTTCCAGCTGTCAGACACATTTTGGTAAATCAGTTTCAGCTAGCTCTCAGTTGAAAGGAAAATAAAAGTTAACGTTACTTCAAAATGGACTGTCCACGATGGTTGCCTTTGGAGTCAAATCCAGAAGTATGTGTTGCTGTTATTTCTTCAAAATGGTGATCCGTCGTAGTCATTCATTCACAAGCATGTGAGGGCTAGCTAACTTGTGGCTAACCCTTAGAACAAAAGCTGGAGCCGGTGTGGCTTCTTTGTTAATTACAAAAGAAGTATTATTAACATTTGTATATGTCTCTTTTTATTTCAGGTCATGACAAAGGTGAGCATTTTCTTCTGATTTAATTTAACACCCCAATAATCAGCTGCAACGTGACTTTAGAGGAACAAGGCCTGACGTTACTCATCAACAATGCTACTGTTTTATACGTGATGCTCTCAGTGAAGCGTAGAAGTAAAAAATGCTGCCTTTTTAAAAGTTATGTTAGAAAACAGACTGCGAAGAATATGACAAAAGCTTTAACTGATTGCTAGTAGCATGCTGCAATTGCAATCTAAAGAGAATATATTTTACGAAGTTATCTTACGTGTTTTTCTCGAGCTTCATACACATAAACTGGTTAGTTACACTTCCTGCAGCTGTCTATAGCAATGTAGGCCTTACACCTACAGTAAATATGTTCCTACTTAGTAAGTAAAGTTATTGATATTGTCCTATGTTAATAACCATACTAACTGCTGTCTATATATAACAATGACAAGATGTTGAGTGCATGAGAAAATAGAAAAGCATCAAATAGTACATATCACATTTAAAGTTTCTAATAAAATATCTGTAATTAATCGATATAGATTAATATAACTTTTCAATCGAGATACCAAAGTGCATTACTTACTTAGAAGTCCCTGTACGTTAGATATGTTTAGTAAGCTGGTACAAAGCACATATTTATAAGAAAGTAATGACTATTTTTTGTTGTATCCTGTCAATCACGTGTATTCTAGCCTTGTGAGGTTTAGGTCATTATCAGTTGGTAATAAGGAGCCAGCTATTACATACAACTTACATTTGAGTTGGAAGTTCACTGTGAGATTTTGTAAGGTTAATTGTAATGTCTTTGTACTTTATGCATACACATTTACTTTGCGTTTGTGCAGTTTGTCAATTGCTTAGGTATGAGACCAACCTGGCAATTTGGAGATGTTTACGGATTGGATCCAGAGCTTCTCAGCATGGTGCCACGACCAGTGTGTGCGGTGCTGCTTCTCTTCCCAGTGACAGAGAAGGTACTTGTACTGTCAAATGTATTAACTGTATGTTCATTACATGTTGTAGAGACTCATTTCCATGCTATTCAAAAACAATTCTCAACTGATATTTCTCCTCTCTCCTTCTTCTGTCCAGTATGAGGCTTTCAAGCATGAAGAGGAAGAGAAACTCAAGGGTCAGCCACAGGACGTGTCCCCTGACGTCTACTTCATGAAGCAGACTATTGGAAACGCCTGTGGAACAATAGGATTAATTCATGCAGTGGCAAACAACCAAAAACACCTGGAGTTTGGTGAGTATTTCTTCTGTTCTCGTCATATCCAATGGTAGAGATGTCAAATATTTCCATGTTTACAATTTGAAAGCATCAACTCAATACGGTTGTATGATTGTAGAGTTGATTGCGTGTGAGTCAAAAATGACTGTGAATTAACATGAATGATTTTCCCCAGAATATGTAGTTGCTCATACTTGATAGGGGGTCTTGTGGTCCGTTCCCAAGAATATAGATAACATAGAAGCCGTAGAAAGCCCTAGAAAACCTTAGAATAGTTGGGAAAACCCTGAAATATAACTTTTTTTTCTTAAATTAATCTTTAGGGGTTGCAATATCAGTGTTGAAAATCACCCAGTTCAAATCCTAAAACATTTCTGCCTGCAGACAGTTTTTTTTATAGATTTGACTTCATGTTGTCCTCTCTCCTCAGAGCCTGATTCTCCTCTTAAGAAGTTTATCGTACAAACCTCTAAAATGGCCTCAGAGGAAAAGGCCGCCTTCCTGGAAAAAGATGAGGTAAGAAAAAACTGAAAAGAAAATATTTGCTTAATTATTTTGTGATTTAAAGGTGGGGTAGGTAATTCACTTCAGAAACACTTTTTGTTATATTCCATGGAATGCTCTTAACATCCCGATAGCAATGAATACATTAAATACTTTGACAATAAACGCATACAAAAAATGTCATCTGTGGAAGCTGTAGTACTGTAAAAAGCACGACCAATCATCTGAGCCGGTCCGGCTAAAATAACTGGATGGCCTACCTGCCTGTCAGCCTTTCATCTGTGCACAAACTTATCTCGTGCCCTCATTGGTCATGTGCGCGTCCGTGTGTGTTGGAGGAGGTGCTCTTTAAGGAAGTCTGAAGGAAGGGGCAGATTCTTTCCGGCTGCGTACTTTCAAATTCTAGCGCACTCGAGCTGGTTTCTCCATTCTTACCTACCCTACCTATCAGTTAAGATTTTAGTTTTTTCGTCAACTTTTTTTTACAGAAGAAGAACCACGAGTATGCTCTTATTAAATATTTCCCCATTATTTTTAGTTAATCACAGGATGAATGAAAAAACAGTTTCGGCCTCAAACAATTATCAATGTCACAACAACTTATACAGTACCTTTTTATAGAAAATCCTCTTTTTGAGTCATAACAACATGGACACTCTTTGTAACTATTTTCCTGGTAACTGTAGCCTTCTACGTTGTATGTAACTGCTCTCTATCTGTCACTTGTAAGATAATAATACTGGCCTTGTGTACATGAACATATTGCATGTTAGATTATCCTAAACATGTAGGTACAATTACCATGAAGTACAAAACAAACTGCAAATCATTGGCTTTATTCCTACTTTGTTTCAGAGTATACGTGTGACACATGAATCCAGTGCGCAGGAGGGACAGACTGAGGTTTGTATTGCGTTTTAAATGTTCTGTGTATGCTTCTGGCACAAATACCACCAATTGTTCTGTCTTTCATCTCAAAGAATGTGTAACTTCAACATACTCTGTTTTTATTTTGTTGTCTGCTTTAGGCCCCAAGTGTAGATGAGAAAGTGAATCTGCATTTTATAGCTTTTGTGAATGTTGGGGGACAGTTATATGAACTGGGTGAGTTACCAACTGAAGTGTGCTTGTACGTCCAAAATATTGCATTGCATTTGTGTCATTGTAGATAGTGATGACTTTATATACACATTTCAGGCAAACTTCCTGGTAAACTGTTTTTTTTTTTTTTTTTTAACCTAGATGGCCGCAAGCCTTTCCCTATTGTCCACGGCAAAACTTCCGAAGACACTTTACTCGAGGTAAGACCCCACAGAATAAAATAGACAATTGCTATAAAAAACATTTCTGAAGTTGAGTTCTAAGTCATCATTTCCTGATGTGTTCAATTGCACCGCAGGATGCTGTAGAGGTTTGTAAGGTCTTCATGGCTCGCGACCCTCAGGAGGTTCGTTTCACCATCATTGCCCTCTCCAAAGATTCATATTGAGGAAACTCCTTTGTGATCCCAGAGAAAGAAGAAAATATTACTGCCAAACATTCTCAAGTGCTCGCTCAATTGAAGAGTTCGATTTTTCTTTAATTATTTTTCATTTTTGTGGCAAAGGTAAGAAAAAGGTCAGGGATATCATTTAAACTAATAACATCTTGTTATGCATCACTTGTTAAGGAAATCAGAGTGCTCCTGTGAAAACAAAAGTATTTCTTGTTAAGATCAAACTCTTCCAGATCCACACTGCTGAAACATCGTGAGAGCTGTAATACAGATATCAGCTGTATTACCCTGACACTGCACTACATTTTGTTTACATGGCGTCTTTGACTTTCAATTAAGAAATATATTTCACAAGATTTCCACATGTGAGGGAGCACAACTTAACTTTTTTACCCTGGGTTCAATGATTCATACTGTATGTAATGATTTGTTTAAGATGATGTGTCTAACACATGGTCAAAACCGGCTGCAGAAATATGTTTGGCAAGGCTTTCATTTCAGTCATAGCTTTCATAAAAGATAGGCCTATTACAGTAATGTTATAAAAAGCAGAAAAATACAAGTCTTCTGGAAGAAAGTCTGAAATATGGAATTTGACTGTACATTAGTGGGGAGGTGCCCACATTTTTGTAATATGAATTACAAATTCTGTCAAATAAAAGGCACATTTACTACACATTTCTCTTGTTGACCTTTTCTGTAGCACACACATGTTAGAAAGTTAATTTATGTATCTGTTTATCATTGTATGATTTAGTATTTGATGGGTTTATTGTCAAATGTAATTAACTTGATTAGGCCTGCTGAAAATATGTATCTTTTTTTATTAGCACACTACAATAGGAAAATAAAATATAAAAAATGTTATCAGGCCTCTACACTGAAAATACAAAAGCTATTTATTTGAATCCAAAGTAACCTCTACTTACAAAGTAGTCACTCTACTACTGAATTAATTCAATGGAAAATAGTCAAAATACTCATTACAATTCTTAAACTTAAAAAATCATCAAAGTACTCATTCTGTTATATTAATATATTTGGATTAACATGGATTTTAATGTCATTGGTCAAGATTGATCATATTTTAAAAACTCTTTATATTGTTGGGTATTTTAATCTGACAATGCATTTGTATGTGGTAATGTAAGATGATCATAGTATTGTATGTGATTTATTTGTATTGTATATGTTAAGTAACTAGCTGTCAAATAAATGTAGCAAAGAAGCCGGCAAGGTATAAATTCCACTCGTGTTCAAACGTTAATGTACCTTGCACTAAGTCAGTGCTGATTTCCTGCCCTGCATTTCACCCTGATGGCCGCTGGGGGGCGCTGCAGGAAAAGGATGTGCAGATCTCCCGCAAGTGGAAAAGTTTACTCAAACTTTTTAACTTTTGCTTTAACATTTGATACTAACCAGCCCAACAACTTCAAATGGACACGGCTTTTACTTATCAAGCTGTAATGTGAGAATATATTGTAGCTGGATATGAATTGGTGTAGAGTTACACTATACTTACAGTAGTGGAAACCTGGGATCAAAACAACCTCCGAGGGAGAGGGAAATATCAGCCAACTTGTGTTCACCTGGAACTTGAAGTCTCTCAAACGACCCGTGGGTGGTCCTCAGACCTCACTTTGGTAACCCTCCTGCCTCAGCCTCATGCAGTTTGAACTCCATGAGAAGATAACATCTCCTGTCTAGGAGGAGAGCCAGGGTTGAACTGTGAGGGAGGCTTGGTCGCTGAAAAGGTGGAGTAAATAGTGTGTGAAAATACCAAAACAAGCGATCCACAGGTGTGTCGGATGAAAGAACAGGTAAGCTGGCTGATGCTAAGGGAGTGTGTCACTGTTACACCTTGCATTCATACAGTAATAACCTGCTGGAAATAAACAAAAGGAGGCATATTTCATGACTGAGTAGTTTGATTTTCAAGTTTATCTGTGATGCTCTACATTGCTTGAATAGTTTAGTGCCTTCATTGTGTCTGCTTTGTTTGGACCGGCCCACATTTGATGTCACTGGACCTTAAATGCGGACATCTACACACACAGATTTGTCTCTTCGGTGCAGCTCGGATAATACGGTTTTGTGATGGAGTGGCGCGAGCAGTCCGAGGTCAGCTGCGACGAGGCGTACTTGGAGGCACAGAGATGGATTGAGGTGAGTCAAAAACATTACCAGAAACGTTTTTCTTTTAAACTACTGACAGGACGTAAGCAATAATCAAAGAAAAGGTTACATCGAATTGGTAAATGCTTGTGATCACCATATGGCAAAACAGGAAAGTGTTATTTTGTTTGATTTATTTTTCCTCATTCAGCTAATATAAGACTGGCAAAAGACTATAAAGTTGAAAACCTTTTACAAAAACACTTTTCATCACAGTCAATGACAGGAGGTAAGCAATAACCATAGCCAAGGTTCAATCTAATTGCTAAATGCTTGTGATCACAGGAAAGTGGTATTTTTATGTGATTACTTTTTCCTCACTGTAAGACCAACAAAAGACTATAAAGTTACAAAACACTTTTATTCAGAGGCACTGACAGGGGGTAAGTACTAATCATAGAGAAGGTGACATCTAATTAGTAAAAGCTTGTCTTCACTATATGGCAAAACTGGAAAGTGGTATGTTTTGTGTGAATTATTTCTTATATTAGCTACTATAAGACTGACATGAGCCTATAAAGGTGTAAAGCTGAGGATTTTGTCTAATACATTCTTGATTTATGTTGTTTTGGTGTAATCTAGTGGCTTACCTCTAAGTCTCAGATATTAAACTGGACCAACAACAGATGAATAATGTTACACCCCTGGTTATAGTCTCAAGTAACTGATGATCAACTCTATTGTTCCTGTCTTTGGGAATAATGTAGCTGTACTTTCCTCCGAACATTAGTTATTCCCTTTATCTTATCTGTCTGTCTCTTGAGAATACAGGTATGGATTTGAATGTATTCATCATTGTTGTTTACTCGCTGCTTGTTTAGACCTGCTGTTTTTCTTAGATGTTCCCAGGGTTTCTTTGAGGCTACAGTTTTGAAGCATGTCGTGAGAAAATTGGCAGAGCAATTAAGAAAAGAGGATCTATGATTGATCCCTAAATCTCAGCTATTTTACCACACCTCCTGTAAGCACAGTTCAAGCCTGGATAATAACCTGAAGTAGGGCAAGATGTTCCACCTTTTTAATGACACGCTATTTATAAGTAATATTCTTAGCCTATACTGTTTATTATTGGAAATTGCTATTACAAGTACTGATGATTCAAAAACTAAAAAAGCAGTCACACAGTTTGTCTCTTGTGATAAATATATGAACATGTATGAAAAATGCGTAAAATATAGAATAAAGGTTTTAAAAGATGATCCTCATAATATACCGTTTTTTTAAATTGCAAAACAGCTACCAACTAAAAATAACTATCCACCAGCACTATCAAAAACAGTCTCTTTTCATTTCCAAAATGTCAACTTATTTAAAGTTTCCATTCAACCTTCAGCCAGGCTCTCGCTCTTTCTTTTTGTTTTTACAAGCGAGTTTAATTATGTTTCCTCATCTCGCAAATTCTCTTCTCAGCAGGGTGGTTTGGAGCTGCACGGTTTTAACTAAACAAATATTGTTCTAATTTCATGAAGGGGTGAATCTAAATTCTTCTGATGTGACATCAGTGTCTCTCACACTTGCACACTGGCCCATTGTTGTGGTTTACCTCGTGCAGGGCGGTGGGGGGGGGCATGATATCAGGCAGGGACAGGAAGATTAGGGAGGGTTAGCAGGAAGCTGAACGAGTTGAATAGGTAAAGATGCAGCAAAGAAATGATATTCTTCTGGGGTACAGGCCATAGGACGAGTATACTAACAGTGTAGGTATGTGAGGTTTTGGCGGGGACCAAGTTATTTTACGGGGCGAGCACTTTCCCCTCAAAGACAACGTTTTGTGGGTATTGGAATCTGCCTCTGAATGATTAACAAGCTGCTTGGCTTCATAGCACTTTAAACAGAGGCATACATGTGCGTGGCGAGGTTGGTGGTATTGTTAAAAACTAGACTAAATGGTCTGGAGCTTGTCACATGGACACATTCCTGCATTAGCTGCCATGGCTGTGAACATAGCACCCTCAGAGCTGGCCAGCTGTCAGCACAGGGCAGCGAGCACTACAACCACAGAGCCCGCTAGAATAATGGAGACCCTTGTTAATTGAATAGAAAGGCAGTAAGTGTGACGGTCGTGACAATCAAAAACAAGAGTGTATGCAACCTACAGGTCGAAAGATCATGAGTATTGTATGACCTACTGTACACAGACACAGTATCTTATTAATTTAATCGGAGCTCTTTTATTAGATTTGATCAGTTTTAGTGCTTTTCATGGTTCCCTGATGGTGTTTAAGCAGGTTGAGTTTTTTTTTAATAAATCACTAAGGTACTGCAACAGTGTGAGGCCCATTATGCCGGTTTTCCTTTGTTTAGATTGTTACGGCCAAGAATTTATTTCCTCAAAGCCACTTTGAAAGGTGTGGCTGGTTGAAATGGGCCGTATTGTGTTTCGTACATTCTCTAGAATAAAAGCAGCTAATCAAGTAACACAATCCTGTGGATTTCTTGAGGTGTGTTACTTATCCGGTTGAAGTCTTGTAACACTGAAACTATTTCAAGCTTCCTTGTGGTTTTGATATATGTGTTGAATTCAGGACTTCAATCAAGAGATAGTTTCATTATTAATCAATTTGCTGACTATTTTCTCAGTATTTATTAATTGTTTTTGGCCACAAATAGTTGAAAATGCCCAATCAAATAACTCAGAGCTCATGGTGTTTATGTTCTCATCAATAATCCAAAACTCAATAATATACTCAATTTGCAATAAAATGAAACGGAGGAATTTCGCAAACCTCCATGTTTGATAAACTGGAACCAGTCAAATGTTCCACCTTAACTTAATTGTTTTTCATTTGTTTTTCCAGCTCATCCATCCACTATTTTGTTGTGGTCCAACTGCCAACACATGCCTTCTGTGACCTGTGTTGTTTTCCATACCAGATCATTAGTCATCTCACTGTAGCGCCATTTTGGGTTTGTATCTATATTGATTGCGAGCAATTAGAAACTGGGTCACATGCATTCAGATGCACTCATGTGAAGCAGGACCTCACGCAAGAAGCCATTAATTTGCTGTTGCATTTTAATATAGGTCCATTATTCGGATATGTTGATGGTGTTGATATTGATGGCTTCTACATCGGTATATTTTTGTCTGATTGGTGAAATAATTGGAAAACATGCCAATTGTCCTCTGATGGCACATGTCCCTGTCCTTTGTATAAGAATTGTAGGAACAATTAGTGGAGCAGGAGGGGGGTGGGCTGCATCCACACAAAGCTTGAATACTGATTTGCCTCAATGCCCGGCATGAATAAACAATAGCTGTGGTCACGGACCCAGAGACTCCTCAATCCCTCTGATTATTTGGGTTTCACTGCAGTCAAAAGACACATTGTATTTCACACGTGTCAAAACACTTTTAAGAGCCTGTTTTGCATTCCGAGGGTCACATTTCTGTGTTTTTAATATCAGGAATAAAAGTCTTTACAAGGCTCAGTTCTTCAACACATTCAGCAGCACATTCTTGAGGGTGGGTTTGTAGGAGGGCTGTAGCTGTTTTTGAAATCTCTCCTCCTGCCTTAAATCTCCCCTGTTAAATCAGAGCAGCAGTATGTTGTTGCAGATTAGAGTAGTTATCCCACATGGCAGGTTCAACAGGAGAGAGAGGGCACAGCAGGCTGGATCTGAGGGGAGTTAATACCTCTAATGATGACGATAGAGAGGAGGAAAATATTCTGTTACAGTCAGCTTAGTGCAAGCTTCAATAGGGTTGGGTCCCACCTTCTACACAAGGATTAGGAGATAATACCTTAATTATCACGTTTATTATGTTCCTTCTTCTTATCAAACACCTCAATGCACCACTGAAAGAGTGCATCTAAATGATTGTGCTGTTTCCACCTGTATTGTTTGCATACTTGAATTCCAGCTGATGGCCCAGTATAGAACAGCAGGGGTCAGGATTTCATATGCCAAGTGCAGAGCATGACTGATTATACACTGTACTGTGAAGTTTGTTGCCTCTGTGTGATAATGTGTGTGGGGGCAGCTTTGCATTTCTGCCAGTGTGTTACTGTTTAGTGTTGTCAGTGTCTAGTTATCATTGTATTTTTGTCAATGGATGATAAGTAGGCCAAGATCTCTATGTGTTCTCAACAAAACTCCTAGCAATGGCTTCGTCACATACAGAAAGACTTCAGAATGAAACTGTTGTAATTCATCTATTACAGCATGGTCTCATTTTCTTTTTAATGGAAGGTTCTGGAAGGGTGTGGTCTTAGGTGTAACACAAGTATTTTATGAAAATAATAACAGTGTCCTCCAGGCAGTCTTTCTAATTGCTCCGATGTCTCCTGTCTTCCTCGAAATAATGGCTTGTACTGAGCCATGCCAGTAATTGTCCCAGCTTTTGTCCCTCTCTCTTAAAAGAAGAAGAAACAACCGACCAATTTGGTTAGTAAGACGAGTTGGACTTGTTTTGCCTTGTGGGTGAGTGTGTGTGGTGTTTGTTTGGTGTGTGCACTTTGGTTTATGGCAGGTGTCTCAGTATATTTACAGTGGATTGTGTGTGCTCATCTGCCCTTTTGGAGAAAGTCAACTAATTAAATTACATGCAGACTTAAAATCAAACGCATTGCAGTAGTAAGGTCAGTGAAAGTGTTTTCATATTTCATAACATACTCTCAGTTTCCAGTTTATTAGGTTCATTTAGATACAATTATTGCTGTCTAAAGCAACAGTCCTGCAACAAATCCAATCTTTACGAAGGTTATAATATTCAAGCTTTGTTGATTCAACTTTGTGAGGAAGTAGTGTGTGGTGCTGTACGACATTGTAATGAATTGCAATTTAAAAGCAGCTTCCAATAATTGTATTTTTGTTCATTTATTAATATTCACACATCTTCCCCACAGAAACAGTCCCAGTTTGTTTATTTGACTAGCAGAATATATATAACAAACTAGTGTTAGTGAAATATGTTAGAAAGTAAGGCCATGGGCCAAATAACATTTGATTAGTGTTTGGTATAGGAACAGATCCAAGATGGTGCCAGAGCAAGGAACTGATCTTCAATGCAACATTTCAATGCATCTAAGTAGGATTGCAAAAAGCTATGTATTCACTTTTTCTAAAATAATAAATATCCAGGGTTGTGCAGAACTGCTGGAAGTAAACATTCTAAATGTTTTCTGAAGTAATGATTTTGGTTGGATTGAGTGGCTTAAGATGTTGATGATGGAAACATTCCAACAAAAACAGAACAGGAAGCTCTTTAAGGAGTGGCCATTACCATGAATTTGATATCCTAAAACAGAGATGAAGTTTCACACCAAAACTTAGAAAACAATAGTTATATTGCCAATACAGATTGCTGATATTCAAGGCAAAAATAATGTGTAGTACAAAACAAATACTGATGAGTGTTTTGTTTCTGTGCAATAACAGTATGTGCATGTGTTTAAGTGAGGCTGGACGTCATGCATGCATAATGACTCTTGGTGTTCCCACAATGGTGGTTTGAGATCATGGGAAAGGCATGAGGCTCTAACACAGCGCTGTGTTCCTCCAGCGCTCCAGATGCTCCCAGAGCCTTGCGGCTTGGGCAGCCTGGCTCCAGCACAGTTTTAGCACAGCTCTCCCGTTTACCAGCAGCTTTTAACATTAAAGTGAGAAGAACAGAGCCACTGGAGAGCCCAGAGGAATACCTGCACAACTGTACTCAACTCTGTCCCAGAGACACTGTAGGAACTCTGGAGGAAATACCTCTGACTTCCTCTGCTACTGTTCTCAACATCCTACCTTTCTTCTCCAACCTCCCCACCCCACCACACACACACACACTAACCCCCGCCTCCTCTCCTCACCCAACCCTTCTTGCTATTTTGCTCACTGTTTTTGTATCCATTTTTCCAGGCAGTAACCAAGAAAACACTTGGAAGCGACGACTTCCGATCAGCGCTGGAGAATGGAGTTCTGCTGTGTGAGTGAGTACACTGCTTTTCCCAGGCACCTCTCTTAAGCCACTCATTCAGATGGAAGCCTTCTGCTCCCCTCCAGGTCTGCACTCCAACATAAGTGTTACTGATATTTCCCAGGCGGACCCCCTGCAGGGTCACTGTTTGTTTGTCCGCCACATAGTGAGCCAGTGTTTCCAGACAGCACAATAGAGGATGCATTGTGGAGTTATTTCAATGTTTCCAGTGTTAGATCCGCCCTCTGTGGTTTTATTTGGGGATATGAATTGGGATCTTTTTCAGGAAGTTGTGTCGCCCGTCTGACAGATGTTACAGATCTGTGGACGGGCAGAGTGCCATCCTTTACTTTAATAAGAGCTATGCAAAGCGGTGTAGAGAACGGAAAGCCTCCAGCTGAAACCACATCGGAAAGCATGGGCACCCTGCTTTCTCATTAGTCAGATGCATCAAGAGTTTTGATGAGTTGAGGAACAAATGTATCTCCACAGAATTAGCTTTTGCATTGATTCATCAACTGCTCTTCTAAGATGTGCATTGACTTGTGGAGATGTGGCTTCTCTCAGATCAGGGATGTGTTAGTCTGTGTGTGTTAGGGTTTGCATCATGTCCCTTTTTACATGTGTATGTGAGCAGCATGGACACAGTGATGTGATTTGCACGAATCAGCAAGAAGCTGTAATTACCAGCAGCCCATGCAGAATCTTCCAAACCTCTATTGGCATCGTTTCAAAGAAGAAGCCCCTCGTTCTGCTGATTTGAGCCTGACTCCACTGTTTGCTCACTCTCAGGGAACAACAGAGACACTTTCATTCTGGGAGCTGTCCATGTTTTCTCAGTGTGAGGAAGAGGAAGACAAGAGATTAAATCGCCTTCACCTAGAAGCTCAGCCTCCATTCCCATTGTTTTCTGGTTATCACAACTGCTTGGAAGGGAATGTTCGGTGTGGGTCTCACACATGATTACATCCTACTTAGATTACAATGTGTGTTATCTGATCAAATAGTACAGCTTTCTATTGTTTCACTGCTAAATGACTGACTTTAAAACAAATTCCTTTAGCATTCTTTCTCTACATCTATTGTCAACCTAATCAAAGTCTTGCATCTACCCCCAGTGCTGAGAGAGCCGAGGAAGCACCTGCCAAAAATATCCACATTCACAAGTTTTTACTTTCTTTCATTAAACAAAAGGGCGAGATTTGTGACTTTTTCAAGCGTGTTGCACAGATTATACGACTACAACAGTGTATGAATGAGTTCGTATTATCTTGACCAATTACGTCATTAAATGTTGTTTACTTGTTGTAATCTACGATAACAATTCTCAAATATAAAAGATAAAATACAACTCAGAAAAGAGCCATTCTGCATATGAGCGCATTCATTTTGAGGATTAGAATTTCACGGATAAATTAATCAATCCACAACTAACTTGTTAATTGATTCATAATTGTATCAACATCTCAAGCAAAAATTGCAAACTTTGCATAATTTCTGTTTCTCAAGTGGAAGATTTCCCTGCTTTTTCTTGTCTTAAAGTAATTAGAATATCTTTAGGATTGGACTGGCATTTTTTACTTTTCTGGTGTTGTGTGTAGAATTTTCTTTTTTTGGGTATCATTTAGATTTAAGAAACCCTTTCCAAACCCTTTGAGTAACACCAAATATGCATGTATCAAAACCATTTCAGTTTTTTCTGAGCTGTACGTGGTGGTTGCTGGTTTGTTTGGGGTTGTCCCAGTAGGAGAGGGTATGTTTACAGCGTAGAGGACCCATGTTGTGTTTACATCACGGTGCAGCACTGGTCATTTACTAAACTAAAGCCAGGTGGCCCCCATCAAACAAAGTCGTAAACACACAACACCGAGACTTTGCAACACTTTTTTGTTCATTCCTTGTTATTTAAACCAGCTCAGCCAATGACCAAGTCCTTTCACTTACCCTCTTCCTTTGCCTCTTGTCTCTTTCTTCTGCTCGCAGTTTGATCAACAACATCAAGCCTGGAATCATCAAGAGAGTTAACAGGCTGCCTACACCTATAGCTGGACTGGTAAGTCTTTATATTCATCTTAAATATCAGTCATTGCATGCACATTTTAAAATCTGAGCCTCACCAGCTCATTCCAGTTTTGTTTCAACAAGGTAACGGCTGTTATTACTGTTGTAGTAACTAACGTCTTTTGTAGAGAGTATATTCTGAGATGTAAGGACACAGTGTGAGGTGAAGCGGCAGCAGTTAAGCTGGTGACAGGTCTGAAGCACGGATGCCAGTGAGAGGGAGGTGTTTGCCTCAGTGACTTGTCGCTCCTCATATCCATCCACACTAATAAGTTCAGTGAAAGTGGAGATGCTTGAAAGGCCACTGGCCGCATATGACTGCACCCTAAATATGATGTCTGCCATGCTTGAGGCTGCTTTCAGTCAAAGTCCTTTAAGACAAAAAGTCTTTGTGCTGGTATGATAATTAGGTTTTTGATTGAGTGACAAGAGGTCAGAAGGGGACAGAGTTTGGTTACATAATAACCCGTTATTGAATCAGTGTTACTTCAATCTTTTCACCTTTTTAGACCTGGCAATGTCTTTAAATTGTGGCACATGCCGTTTTGGAGACAGTGGCTCAGTTGATATAAATGTTTTGGGAGTGTCTGACTACAAGTGCTCGGGAAGTAGAGGGTTGAAAACCCTACCTTAAACCCATCCCTCACAAAGCTCTCTCTTGTAGGAGTAATTGAGTCCAGCTGTCTGGGGGAATTATAGAGAACCCCAAGCTTAACCATCCAGTCTGAGTGGGCTAGGTCACTTTTAACATGTTTGGCAAGACAATGACAAGTTTGCGGTAGAAGAAACAGACTAGTATTCATGCTGTATATGTAAACAGTAAACATGGTTTTTGTAGTACCAAACACTTTACCATCATATCTATGTTATGACATAAATAAAATTGCCAGTTTGTTTTGGACAGTTAGTAGAACAACTGGCTTGGGCACCTGCTGAGGTAATTGAGCTATGGTATCTCCTCCATCAGTAGCACTGGTTTGGTATTTCCGATACTTAGGCACCAACCTCAAACCACCGGAAAATAAATTCCCCAGAAAATGTGAAAGCTCCTTGTTGGCCTGCGGCTATCAGTTACTGCCAACCACATGGGGAAAAGTGGAGGGCTCTCCAAACAAACATTACTCACTCTCACTCTGCTGTGAGAGTATCTTTTCTCCCAAAGCAGTCAAGTAGTGTTGCTAAGAATGTCCTGTATCTCTCCTCTCTTTAAATAGAAAACGTGTCTGTTCTTTAAGTGTTAGAAATAAGGGTTTGGAAAGTAAAATCATTAAAGCATTACATCCTTATGCTTAGAAACCTGTTTCCACATACAGTAGTGAGGATGTTTGCACTGGGTTTGTCTTCATGTATGCTATTGTCAGAAAATAAGAAACTGGAAAATGCAGTTTTCCGGTATGTTAACCTTGCAATGTGAATGCGTAACAAAGTTACAGTAAACAAAGAACAAGAGTAATGTTGACGCCTTTTTATTTGAGATGAAGATAAACAGTTGAACTTTAATGACCGCTGAATGCAAGGGTCTTTGCGACTCACACGCATCATTAGCGCTCAAATCTAAATATTTTTCTACCATTATGGTCATAATTATCGTTTTAGTTTGCTATCCGAAAGATTTCAGCTCTGAAATGGATACCAGGCTTCAGCTCTGGCAGAATAAAAAGCCCAGGGAGGGAAAAGGGGAACAAACGGAAATATATGGTTTTGTGGAATATTTAGCAAACATTGACTCCAGACCGGGCCTATTCTTTGGCTTCACTTGTGTCCAAGGGAATGTTTCCCATGTCAGCACACTTCCCTGCCTGTTGCTGAGCACTCAGCTGTGGGTTGGATGGCACCTACTGGTTCGGGGCCGGTTCTGCTTTTACTAGTGCTGGGCAGGACGCCCACAATTGTGGTGAGGCAGCCAGCTACGTGAGTGGAATTGAGGCCCATTGGGCTGAATCCAGAGGGACAAAGTTAAAGATGACTGCATCGGTCTTTGCCCACCGTAAACACACTGTAATTGACATGATGCTGGATGTTCCCGCATACACCAACTCCTTGGCGGGTTGAGGGAGCAGTGGGAGGAGACAGACAGTTTCAATGGTCCTGAGGGTGTCTTTACTCATCTAAATGTCTGTTTGATTATCCGTGCAATGACAGGCATTTGACCATGTTTTGTTTCTGTGTTTGTGTTGTATGGCTGCATGTTATGACTGGATCTGTCTGTTGAGAAAGGATGGTCTTTTATTTGGTCTGTTTCACGAGAGCCAACATTTCAAGTATTTAATCTCCTCTTGGTTTATTGTCACAGGACTTGAAAATGTGTAGCCTGATATTTTAACCATAGCTTTGCTTGGTGTTTGAAGCACTGCCAAGGGTCAGTGGAGGGTAATTGTAGAGCATGCCCATTTTAGACAAAGAATGCAGTGAAAGAATAGAGTGACCACAATGTGACCAGTATGGACGGAGACCCTTTTATACCAAATCAGACACCTTATGAGTCAAATATTTCCCTCTCTCAGTGTGAATACTGAGTCCTCGGGTCTGAGAGGATTAGAGGCTGCTGGATGGGTACAGCATATTTAGCAGGATTATGTGCAGGCACAAGGCAGCATAACATTCCTTCAACATCATTATCTCTGCATGTTCTGGGGCTGGTTGTAGGGGGTCTTTTAGTGTGTTCATAATGCTCTTTGAGGTGAAATGACATTTACCAAAGTGATATTAATTTTCCTTTCATGGAAACCTTTAATACATTGGCCTAAGGTAAGAGTATGCCTATTCGTTCACAAGGAGAAGACCAGGGCATACAGTAAAACAATTGTAACTGTAACATTTAGATTTGCATTTACATTGATGCAAATAGGCTCTGTTGTCTTCAATGGCCTGCATGCTTTCAGAGAATATTATGTAGAGCTAGACAGATAAATGTATATAAGATATTGCACGTTATTCGCTTTATTCGATTATGTTGGTCGATAAGTAACAAGATTACTGAACGCAAATATCAACGATTATTATCAGTTGCATAGTTTGTCCATCAGAGAACCTTCCCTATCTCTTACGCGAATTGTAACACATTGTTTTCAAGTTAAACTATTTAAAAAAAGAGCAATATCCCCCTAGAAACCCCCCATCAGTCGGGTTATAATCATATTTAATGTATCTAGTTGATTATTACGTGTAATGTAATGCCCTCTTGTGAGCTAACATGCTGAGGTGATGCGAGGTATACTTTGTTTTTTCTGACTGCTCATGTGCTAGTCATTGAAAAACAAGGTCATAAATGATGTGTCACTTAGAAATGTACATGTGTACTACAGTATGTCACACGGACGAGAGATGAGAAACAGGAAAATATCTTCAAAAGGTATTCTGTTGCAATCTGGAAAATTGCATTAGCATGACTATTAAGACGAAGAAAACATCTCTTCCGTGTTATGATAAATAAAGAGTGAACTAACTGTGTTCATTATTTACAGTAGCGGGGTCTGATCCTTGGCCTGTAGGGGCCCACAGTGACCTGTGTGGCCCCGTAAAGGGCTGTTAAGGGACAAGCAAAGCTGTTAGTAAGGGATTCCTCCACTGAAAGGTCAGCTCTGTCCTTCCATTTGCTAATAAGCATGTTTCAAATTTAAATATAGAACTAGCTACCCCTTAATTATCCCTGCCCATCTTGAGACCATGTGTTATTACATGAAACCCTCTTAAGAAGACAGTAGACTCTCCCAATGGGAAATTAAGACTTTACAAACACTACCCTTGGGATTACAACTGTTAAAGTCATAACCCCGGAAAGGAATGGTGTTTTTGTGGTAGAAGATTAGTCGAGAACACATGGGATGTGTTTATATCTATAGAACAGAATGTCTTTCTGCTTTGTGCACTACACTCTGTGCAATTAATGTGCCCACATATAAACTTCATGCCACATGACATGATTGACATAGTGCGGGACACTCCCATGTCCTCTTGAGTTGCTTCAGGGAGAATATTTCTCAGTATCTGTCACCCAACCTCTTGTTTCATAGCAACCAATGTCTCCAAAATAATCCACCGCCACCCCGCAGATTCCGCAGGTATGCTCGAGTAAGAAGGCTTGGCAGGGAGGGGAGGGGAGGGGACAGTTTCAGGGTGTGAGCAGCAGGAGAGCGCAGCAGCATTGTGCTCCAGTGTGTGTCAGTTTTGCACTTGCATGGCCGGTTGGGTGGGACTTGTGCAAAACTCTGATGTCATCCTTCCTGGTTTTGGTTTTCTCTCCACCCTAACCCTGCCCACAGGTAGCTTTGCTGCTGTCACTCAGCTGCTGTCACACAGCCTCTCCCCCTCATGTGTGTTTGTGTGTGTTCTGCACTAGGTCACTTCTTATTTGCTACACACATGCTCCTCCCTGTCCGCTCTGTTCCCGAGTGATATGAACTTTGGAAGCAATGAGTTGTAGGCTGTGTGCCTGCCAGAGTATTTTTTGAGCATTTATTCTTTGCCTCTGAAGGCGGACAACCCTCATCCCTGCTTTGTTCTTTGTCCAGGACAACCTGAACGTCTTCCTCAAGGCCTGCGGGAAGTTAGGACTAAAGGAAGCGCAGCTCTTTCACCCAGGAGATCTTCAAGATTTATCAACAAGAGTAACAGTCAAGTAAGTTATAATAATATGAGCGTTGTTAAATACTTGTACTGGTGACATGTTGATATGCATCCCTGCCAATAACAGAGTTAAAATGGTCTTGTAAGCTGAGACCAACTTGTATTTTCTTTATACATGCTTCTATTCACTCACAATGTTTAAATGTGAATTACACACCACATAGTGTTTTGGAGCATGTGTCTCCTCATGTGAGGCATGATTCAAAGTGCAGTGAAAAAAGGTCAGTGCTATTTTCAGTGTGTGTGTATGCTTGTGTTTGTAAGCACCTGTTAAAGCACAGCTCTATGTGTTTCTTTGCATTGTGAAACTACAAAGGTCAGAAAAACAAAGCAAAGGGTTTTGTATCAAATGGATTTCCGTTTGGTGCAGGTCTAGATAATAATCACAACATATTTGCTGTGAAGTCGGGTAAAGGTTATAGATATTCAAGAAATGTCTTGCTTATAGTGTGAACAGCAGGAAGCTTAAGCGGAGAATGGCGACAATGGGACGAAAACATTTCAAGACTCTGCCACAGTGTTTATGTTTTTTTCCATTCAGACAGTTGCTCTTGTGTCATTTTCGTGCTAGGCAGAGACACATGTGTTATGTTGAATAACCTGTTCAGCTTTTACACAGGTGTGCCTTCAGGACAGAGTGAAACAACAAGGGAGATATCAGAGCAGAGTCCATCCACTGTGTGGCCAAACAGCAATGCTGTACAAGCAAATAAAGTGCTTTGGCAGCAATAGCTGCAGGTTGTAAAACTCGTTGTAGATAGGCAGCCTATAGCTAATAGGTGTCAACAAATGCAAGGGGATGTTATGGAGTTGTGATCTTTTCCAAAACACTCCGCACCAGTGGTGCTTTCATTTTTTTCTCCAACTCCGTGTCACTCAATTGGGCAATTCATCTCAGTTGGGATGTTCCTTCGAGAAGTTGCCATAACGTCGAGGAATTTTTTTACCCATGATCCACCCAAGAATCTGTCATTCAGTTTTCAGTATCACATACAATGGTGTCGAAACCACAGCCGTCACAAAAACACATACAGAGGCAGAGACTGCTCACTGGAATATGAACTCTAAATAAACATATCGGCCTGCCTTTTATCAAGACACACCCTATTCCCACAACAGAGGATATGCTGCCCTTAGATGCAGAAATATGATTCACTGAACGTCTGATTCACCGTCATAAATGTAGAGATACTCTTTTAGTGCCCACGCGTTATCAGACATTTCCCCTCTTGCATAACTTTTTCCCATGAAGTTGGCGGTACTATAAATTACTTTTCTTTCAAAATGAGATTCCCGATGTCGGAGACAATGATACCCACGTTTATGCTGTGAGAAAAACACTCTTTTTTTTTCAATAAATCCTTTGACTGTCCCAGTACCAGATTGCCCTGAAGCTCAGCTTTTTGCCACTATGTCTGTCTGCCTGCGTGCGGGGGTTGTTCAGAGAGGGGTTCACTTTCTATTTTTAGGACCTGTGGGTCCCTTTAACAAGCAGGATTGATTGGAATGGTATCAGGACTCAGGAGATGAGCTTTAAATAGTGTGTTGTCACCTCCCAGTACATTCTCCTGCATGGGGTCTTAAAGGTACACCTGTGTGTGTTTTGTTCACGTGTGTGAAATGATGAATGTGGTTTGCAGTTGTTCTGGTGTTTGGTCACCGTATCCCAAATGATTCATCCAGAGGAGAAACAATAGTTTGTGTGTTGTTTCACTTCAAACATGCTTAAAAAAAGCAGGTTCTCTTCTTTTATATGAACCTGTATCTGTTCCGACTAATTCAGCTGAAGTGTTTTGTACAAAAGGGAATTTCCTCTTCAATTATTTATTTATGTGTCCCTTTTGTATTAACTGTAGCATTATTTAATTGGACTAAAAAGTATAAATATTTGAGTTTGTGGGCCCAATTATGTGGTTCCAGAGCTGCAGTATTTATAACTCGTGCTGATAGAGATGGCACAGGAGGAGATAATCCCAAACAAGGCTGCAGACTAGCAACCAATGGCTTTATTTTACTGTTGCTTATCAGAGTCTATAGTCAAATGTGCCACAGAGAGCAGAGCACAGAGGGAGAGAGGGAAAGTTGTCTCTATCAGCTGTCTTTACCCCTGGTGTGTGTCCAACCTCCACTCCCTTAAACCCAGTCTGACAGGTGCTTCGCTCAGCTTCCCTGTTCCCTGTTTCAGCAGCAGAGAGCTTGTTATCCTGTAGGTACTGTAAGTTTCCATTCACTTATACCAGGCAGAGTCTTAAGCTAAAACATAAAACAATTGGCCTTTCATTTTCCTTTCTTTTCTATTCCATTAACTTTAATACATTATAATGTTAATGTAACTATTTTACTGTTATGACTTTAACATCTTATAGAGAAAGTGATTTTTACACACAGAGTATGATATTTAACCTGTGTGTGTGCGTGTGTTACTATATTTTTGAATCTGCATAAAAGCAGCAACGTTAGATAATGAATTGGAGTTGGTAGAAATGTGTTCGTCAGCTATTTTAATTTATGATTAATCCTTTAATCACGTATCTATCCAACATTTAATGGCTTCAGCTTCTCAAATGACTCTATTCTAAACTGTATTTTATTTTCAATGTTGCTTGGGCTGAAAAGGACATGATTTATATATATTTTTGATTACAATTGATTGTATATTTTAAGGATATTTAAGGATATTTGAATATTTGTTGTTATTATTCAACACTAGTTCACAGTTCATTTAACCTCATTGACTTGAGCTTGATTAGCACTATCGTCTTCCAGCTCAAGGACAAATGTTGGATTTCACACATTGATAGTTTTTCTTTCATTTGGCATGAGTCAGATATTGACTTAAGCAAGGTGTGTTGAGAACACAGTTTAATTCATACAGGTCTGCTTTGTCACGACAGCCATAAAAGATTATTATAGTCTATTTTGACCTTTGAGCTTGGCGGTTGTTGTAGTCATAGACTTCCCACCATCTGGAGTGCATGTCACTTTATTTCCTCCTGTTGTGTAACTTGCTTTCTGATAAAAGACGTTTTATTAGCCACAAACTCATTCAATATCAACATTTGTCGTATAACATGACAAACTGTTATCGCAGGTTGATAAGAGAAGAATGTGCGTTGGTGGGTGATGTGTTCTCTAGGTTTTACTCGCATCATCTATGTGCAAACACTCGGAGGTCTAATACTGACCAGACGCAATCTGATTCGTCATTGGAGGCTATGATTCAATGTTTGTCTAGTTTTCTAACAGCTGCCCAGGAAATGAGGCTAAGGGTGAGGGCTATAAAGTGCTTCATGAATCATGGCATCCAAAACTGCTCTATTTTATTCAACTCCAGCCACTTCCTTTAAACCCATAGCCGCCATTTGGAGATTTGGCAGCATGCTTGGACTAGAACCACCACTTTGAGTTGACTTAAAGAAAAAGGCTAGACCATGTCGTGATTTCCCTAATGACACTTATGTCAGCTGAGTACTGTATGCTTGACCCTTTGTGAATGTTTGAACAAGTTCCATTTGTCCTAGAGATACATAAATCTGCCTCAGGAGATGGGAATTGCATGTGGAACCAAGGATGTACAGTCACATTACACACTGTGCTGTTGTACTATACTTGCTAAGGGACTCTCATGCTTGTTTCTTTTTTTTTCAGTCTATAACCGACTTGAACCTCAGGCTAACCCTTGTTGTATCTACTGTACTTTTCTATCAGAGCAAGTCTAAGAGGAATAACAGCATTTCGGATCTACTGTGAATGTTGTCACACTCGAATGCCTTAGAGAACAAGCTATGAGTAGTGATGAAAATAAGTTAAATAAATAAAAAACACATTGATTACTACCCGTTATTTTGTGTATAATTACTTATACTAAAGTAAAGAATAAATGTCTTTGTGTCCAGCTTCTCCTTTGTGACCTTGATTGAGTGACAGAACATACCCCCTGCTGAGATGAGTCCAAAGTCTCAGTCTTTGCCGCCATTTGATTAAGCAAATTATTGACAAGGGTTGACTACTTTCCAAACCAAAAAAAGAACTTGCACTGGTTCAACAGGTACATCGAAATGCATTGTCCTTTGAGGAATGTCAATTACCCTTATAAACAATGGATAAAGAGGAGTGGTTGTGTTTTTCATTTTATGAATTCGATTATGCAACGGCATCCCTGGCTCTGAATCAAACCAACAGTTGAATCACCTGAAGGAATGCGCTGTTTCACAAACACATTTGGACTGACTTCTCAGCCTGTTATCAGAATGTATTCAACACCAACATATATGGAACCTCATACCATGTGTGTACTGCTTTTCATGTAGATTATAACTCTCAGTGACAAAGTCTAAGTGAAGTGCCTCATGCATAAAGGAGAAACTGCCCTATGTGTTAGTGTTTTGGGTGTGGTACACTGGGCTGGCACTGCATGTTCTGGTTTTGTAGTTGAATACATGGCACTGCCTTCCCTTCTTGTTGCAGTGTTGTGTGAACTGTGGGCAGATTGTGAAACCAAACGAGCGATGATGGTAAAAGGCCAATAAAGTTTCTACACCATGGCCATGGCTGTAAAAGGCTAACACAAGGGTTATATTTGTGCTCTGTAGTTGACTTGGAGAGAGAAATGCCAGCCTCACCCTGCTGTCTCCCTCACAGAGCCTGCAGTGTCTCCAATAAGAACACAATGATGCCCGACACTGTCTAACCCACAGCTGATTCCTCTATTCAAACTCTCCTTGTGTCTGCATTTTTCAGGACTCATAATGCATGAGAGCGTCTGGGTGTGTCTTTAAATCCAAAAACATTTCATTAGAATGAGAGATTGTTGACGAAGGATGCTGCAGAGCAATTGATCTTCATTGCCGAGGTATGCTTATGGTCACACGTGCACACCCAGTAATTTAAGGCTTGGGTTCTCGGTTTGTTTGTCTTTGGGATGTTGTTGTCTTCAACAAGCGGAGCTGCCTTGATCTTGTTTGTGGCTTTACATGGATTGACACACATCCTGTGGCCTCTGATTGGTCAGTTCTCACCTTCGGGTTTTTGTTTATCGAAAGATCGAGACATACTTTTGTCTTTGTTACAAGACAGGGAAGTGATTGACTAAATTGGAAGGATAATTTACCTTGGCTAATGTCTAGAAGTTATTTGTGTAAGATTTGAATAGTGGCTAATGTTTCTTCAGTTGTGTGTGTTTCTTTCTTTGTTTATGATTTGTATTGGCTGAATGAAAATCAAATGGATATAGTGGATATGGATACATGCAATACTGCTGTTTGAAAGAAATCAATGACCTGAATACAAATAATGAATCATTTGTTTAAATAAATACATTTTTGTGAGTGTAATATTTGATGTAGCTATAACTTTTGCAATTAATGTCGATTGATCCTGTAGCTGTTGTCTGATATTGTCCACTTTCGTTTCACTGTGTGGTTGATAATTATTAGTAATAATGGGCTAACAGGTAATCGTGTCTGAAATCTTTGCATCTCCACTGGAAGATAAAAGAGAAAGGATGTCTCTCACTTTTTGACCTTTGAGAGTGGTAATGTGAGTGTCTGTGTAAACATGCAAAGGTTGAGACTGAAAAGGCTGGAAGTGTTGAGAGTGCTCTGTTAATTTGGCAAGTTCTCTGTTTACTCACTCTTTAGCACGTATACGTTGTCTGGAAAGTGTCCTCTTTTACTTCCTAAACAAGATGTTTCACTGATTTTCATTTACCTGTAACATTGGAGAAAAACCTAACAAAAGCGTATCACGTATTAACAAGGCAACAAGTATATATAGGCCTACTATATTATGAACATATGTTATATCAAAGTAATATAACTTGCAAAAAGAAAACAATATTAAAATGGAATGAGTTTGGCCTTTTTGCTGCTTTTAGTATAATCTTAAATTACAACAAATTGCTTGTGAAATTAAACAAAACATGAACATTAATCTGTTTACACATGTTAAATACGAGAAAGATGGAAACCAATCAAATAGAATATATTTCGCAGCCCTAATGATATATTTTGACTTTAATCTGAGTGGAATGAAGTGTGAGGAAAATTCTGCCTTAACTGCTTGCTTGTGTGAAAGATACATAAACTCTACATAAACACTTCGGCACCTAAAGTATAAAAACCCAACATGATTCCTGATCAAACTACCTCACAAAAGCTATTTATATTCTGAACTTTCTGTGCAGAAATCGCATGTATCAGATTTAATGCCGTTCTCTCCATCATATGAGAACTCAGCTGATTCTAAAAGTCCTGAGGCTACAGTGGCCTGAAAATAGCCCTTATATATTTTCTCTTCTATTCAGCTATCACCACAAGGCATAGTTAAGTGTTGCGAGAGGCAGTCTGGTGGTAGTTTTGGTACAAAGCTCTTTTTTTTTGCTGGATCTGGCTTTCACTGCCAACATCTGAGCCTTTGTGACTCTGTTCCAAGCCACCCATGAGAGGGATTTGTTTCCCTTTTTATTGGGCCTATAAATGTGCATTATGCCAAATTGGTAAACGTCCATTTCAGATTTCACTGTTGGCGAATTAGCTTGTTGAATTCCCCTGGTGTGACATGAGGCTGAGAAAGTTCCACTGACGTTCTTCCCAATGGTTTAATCTTCAACAGTTTGTTGTATTTTATGATAACATCTAATTATTTTGCAAGTAAAAGCTTAGACTGTTTGTAGATCTCAGATAAATGTTGTGTAGTAAAAACATTCTTCTCCCTGAATAGAAGTCTCTTTGTAATGCAGTAAAAATGTAAACATAAAGTAAAATAAGATGGAAATGATCAAGCACAAAAACCTCAAATTGAAATACTTGTACCACTCCACTGAATGTTATATAATGTAATGCTAATGTGTCAGTTAGCTAGGTCCCCTGATTTTAATACACTTAAATGATGTGTGTATTATGTGTTTCATTTTAAATGTTTACTTCATTTCCCCCCCTTTACCATATGGGCCTGACCACGTTTGAGTGACAGGCATCTCAGGTGTGAACGTCACACATGCATTAATGCTCAGCAGGTGCATTTGTTACATTGCATGCTGGGAAGGGGCTTTAAGGAATCCAAGTGCTCGTGGCTTGAAAGGCATGTGTGACTATTGTATTACCACATGATAGCAGGAATGTGTAACATGTACATGGGATGTGAATCATATTGTTATGGTTACCGTACTTTAGCGGTTTATAACGGTTTATTGAGCTCCCTAAATAGACGCTACATAGGTGACAGGTACATGTGAAAAGGGTCATATCTGGCGTGCAGGCTGACACTGTGGGCTTTGTTTGGTTTCACAGGAGCGAGAGCGAGCTGACATTTTCCTGTGAAAGTGATTTACTAACTGCCAGGTCAACTGTCAAACCCCAGAAATATGACTGAAATTCCCGATGACCTGTGCGGCATGTGAGGGGCTTTGTAGCTCCAACAGTAGAGCCTTGTTGGATGATCAATCATCAGTTATTAGTATTATCATTATTTGAAATCAGAAACAAAAACCCCTTTTGTGCCCCTCAACTTTAACTAGATGTTTTTACAGCTGCTTGATTGTGTGATTAGAGTTAAAAAATAAATCGCGCCTTAAACACTTTTAGGCGTACAATTATTTTTTCCAGAAAAGTGTTTGTTTTTCTCTCAGCCTCTGTATTGTTAGTGAGTGAAGGGCTGGCAGTAGTCGGGATTGTGCTCTCACTTTCCAGCTCTTTCACTGCCCAACACACAGACCCAACAAGCATGCCCTCTGTTCTTGTATTGTCATTTCTCTCACACATACACCTCTGTGTTCTGCTCTTTCTCTCGCAGGCATCAAGAGACCAACAGGAGACTGAAAAATGTAAGTGGAAAAATATAAGAAATATTTATTTGTGTGTAATATAACTTGATTTAGCTTCAGTTATTCGAAATGACTGGAGATTAGCATTTTATAAAGGGATTACAACTTTAAAGTATGTTAGTATGTGTTGTTGTATTGACCTCTGTTACAAATCGAATGAATTGCAGTAACATTTTTTTAAAAATCGAAAAAAGTGAGCTCCTCAACTTGAGGCAAGCTGCTGGAGGCTATATGCACTGAGCATTGTGGGTAATGTGATACCAGGTTTTGACAAGGAAGAAGAATGTGTCTGATGTCTCAAGTTTTGATATTTAAAAAAAACGAGAGTCCATCAATGCTATTAGAGAAAAATGCTGGAGAATTGTATTTATTTTGAAACAGTCCCTTAACCTTTTGAAAATAATTTTAAAGATGATATTAAAGGTAATATCTAACTTTTTTAGGTGAAACAACCAACATGTTATATTACGTTTTCGCTAAATAGTTTTAACAGTTTTAATTTGAGGCGTTTTTCCGAATGAAAATAAGGAGAGGGATAGGGGATGATGAAAGGAACAGCACAGCGACCAGAAACAAACAAGACTTTTGCATTGACATGTTATAACTTATCTATAACATTGCTAGTCATATATGTGTGGATTTAGGTTTATTGCAAGTTAAAGCATAGTTTTGTACATTTAGTCATCACAGCTTCATTGTGTATATTATTTCGACATTGTTGTTGTGCATGTGGCTCGTGATATTAAACTAAACAGCTGACATGTCAGTTTGCGTATCACGTAATGGGGGACCAGCATCGTCGATGTGGCGATTATGATTGTTTGCTTTGGTGCAGCACATTTACCTGCCCAGTCTGATAATGCACACACAAACAACAACAAAGTATTCTGGATGAAGCTGGAAACAAAAGCAGGCCACCAGCGGATATCACCTTCTTTCAGTGTCACTATTATAACAATAACCTGCTTAGCACGGCATAGAACATTCATCTGCTAGGGTCGAAGTATAGCTGTCATCTGATGTGGAAACAATCATTTATTCTAACATATATTCTATGGTTTGTCTAATGAGTTATTTGTTGTCTTCTCTCCAGGTTTTGATCACCATATACTGGCTGGGAAGAAGAGCTCAGTGTGACCGTATCTATGATGGACCTTACCTGAATTTGAAGGCATTCGAGGGCTTATTGGGCACAGCGCTATACAAGGTAAACCCTCAAAGTGGATAATTATCCCATTGTGCACTCTGAGCTGTCTCACCTGTGTCGTCATGTAACAAAAGCTTAATTTTCTTGGAGAAACCAGAAATGGCATGAAAGAAATCCTCTTTTACAGCCACTGCACAGTGAGGTTCTGTTTCCTCCCTGGTATGTAGACTATGTGCAGAAGAATGGCTGTTAAACACTGGGGGGCCTCAGATTGCCGGCCACTAAAACCAAAGCTACGTTAAGTCATAAATGACCTGATTCCTTGATACAACTATTCTAATCTTGTTTACAGCACGGCACCAAGTTCGCATCGTGAACAAATCAAATAGATGCTCTGTTTCTTGAATAGGCCTTAAGTCGTTTAAGTGTTGAGTGTGGCACTTTGTTTTCACATAGATTTATAGGTGGTGGTGTGCAAGTCCTCTGTAATTCAAAAGACTAAAGGGATTTTAAATAATAGCAGCTCGTTTTGTACATTTAGCTATGATAATCCAAGTGCACTGGCACTAGTGATGCTGGATTTAGTTTATGGACTTGTATTGTCTGGTAGGATTTGCTGGATTACAGATCTGAAAATAATTTTCTTTTTAAGTGGCTGACAAGTTTTTTCTTGTTTTTAAGCACGCTCTTTAAAGTGCCTCCGGAGCTAGCCTTTGTATTTATTTACACATAATAAAACACAAATTAATGCAGTAAACTGTCATCAAGGGTACATGAACGACGGCACTGTTTGTTTTGACACAGATGGCAGTTAATTAAAAAAATCTATTTTAAATGTGATGCACCGTCCCTGATACACAGTATAGGTGTGTGTGTTCTCAGTAACTGAGTGTAAGAAAAAAGGGCCAACAAATACAGACCTCACACTCTACCTGGGAGTTATTTTGCACACCACACACACAGTGGAGCTCAATGATATAATGTGTTACCCTATTATCTGACTGTGTGTGTTTGTGTGTGTATGAAAGGCTCTGCAGGAATCGCCCAGTCAGAAAGGCAGCAGTGTCAGAGACAGCGGTTTTGGAGATAGCTGGTACTCAGAGAGAGAGGAGCTCTTCCAACTGAGAGAAGGAGGAGGAGGAGGAGGAGGAGACAGACACCGGAGAGACGACTCCCTGGACAGCTTGGACTCTTTGGGCTCCCAACCCCAGAGCATCTCATCTGAGATCACTCTTAAAGGCAGCGTCGAGGGTAGGAGACATCATGTCATTTGCATCTATCCCCAAATATAATGTGCTAATCTGACAAAACGTGTAAAACCTGCTGTTCTTGACCTGTTTCTTTTCACCCTTCTAATGCTGACTTTATGCCATATAAGAGGTCAGAGCATGCTTTCTTTATATTGTTTTATGTTTAATCCTCTTCACAGCCTGGTTTTTGATCAATAAAGTGTCCAGACTTTCTCACATCTTTTCTCTGCATGAATATTTACAATTAGGTTCATCTGTCACGAACTTCAAATATTTGTGAACAGAGAAATATGCTGCTTTTGAGCCAGAAAGTTGCCTCCCATCTGTGAAAACAAATACCTATTGCCATCTAGTGGCACGAAGGAGACATTATATATCAATGCTGAAGTCAGTATGTGATCTTGTTTCATGACAAAAGTGTGGTATGCATGAGAGAGGGTCAAGTGCTGGTCAGTGATCGCAGAGTGTTGTCCCCCTTCTAGGAAAAGGCAGTGAGACATTCCTCAGCCATCCACACTAGCTTGTAAATGAGGAGGCCTCCGCTCCCCACCCTGCACCCCTCTGTTAGTCCTCTAAAGTCACGCCAGAACACACAACACATAACACACTCCCCTTGCTCTTTTCTCTTCTTTCACATAGTTATTCCTTTTTGCTACTTCATTACACTTATCAAACCTCCTTCTTCTCTTCTATTATCACACTTTTCTTTATTATCTCCCATCTTTTTGTCCTCCCTCCTCTAGCTCCAGGTTTTTGCAGTGATACCGAGGTAGACTCTGTCTTCAGGATGGCTGAGAACAAGGACGGTCTTAGTTACCGGCGGTCAGTAGTCATCACACCCAAGGCCACCGCCCAGTTCAACCAGTTCCTTCCCAGTAAAGACAAAGCGTCAGCCTACGTGCCGGCTCCGCTGAGGAAGAAACGGGCCGAGCGCAATGAGGACCACCGGCGCAGCTGGGCCAACCCCATATACACAGAGGATGAAGGCGCACTGACCAGGTACTGTCACATACAACAGTCAACACTTTGATTTTATTGAAGGTTTTTCTCCTTTCTTTCTTAAGAGCAACGTACCATAACAAATATAGAAATCAAGTTAACCCAGTTGTGCTTAAATTGCCTAAAATGTACATTGTCTCCTCTCCCATCATGTTGGTGTTTGTGTTGCGGTTGTATTGTCTCATATGGTCGATGTCGTTGTGTACTGGTGTTGTGTTTCATTTGCTGTGGAATGACGTCCTCAGCGACTGCTATGGCCAAAGTCAAGTATCCCAGAGTGCCTTGCCTGCGGCTCATGTACCGTTGGCCTACGAGTATGAAAGCGGCAGCGACTCTGACGCAGAACGACCGGACCCCGACCTTGTTCTGGACGACCTGGCCAGCAGACGCTTCCACAGCCCCTCCCCGGCTCCTCCAACCAACTTCGCCTTGCCCGCCACCCCCCTGGCAGCAGGAAGGGCACCTGCCGGTAGCGGGGGCCCCTGGCCTAAGGTCAATATGACCCCCAATGTTGCCCCTCCACAGAATGTGACCTGCCTCAGGTCAGAGAACATGAAGCAACCGTGTGACTTTGATGTGCCTGCCTGATGAGAGCCAACCAAAACGCTTCTCTTACCCTCAGTTTGCATGGTTATTTGTAACCATGATCAACCTCCTTGGTTCTAGTATGCTGCCTCTAACAGTGCTCTAAAGTCGTTTGTTGGTTTCTGTTTGGTTTGTTTTGAGATTTTATCTGCAGCACGTATTTGAGCTTGGAGGAGTGATTTGAGTTGGCAACATACAGTAACTCCTCAAATCAAGTTTTGCCTCCTTGATAGTTTGTTTTCAAGCTTGCATTGGTTTGCTAATCCTTGCGTCATCTCATTATGCTACTCTTTGCGTGACTGGCGTGCTGTGCTGCTGCTGAAAAAATTATTTTGACACGTGTGTTCGGCTGTCTCTCTTGAGCAGCAGCGGTGTCAACAGTGGGGAAATGCAGCCCCCCCAGCAGGGCTCCGAGAAGGAGGACCACCGCCGGCCCGTGTCCACCGACAGCCTGTTCAGGGAGATGTACGGTGACTCTGACGATGAGGACGAGGAGGAGGGCTATGCTGACCCCGTCCAAGATGACCTCTACTCCCGCAAGATGGGCATCAAACCTCAGCCTGTTGCAAAAGTGTCTTATGACAAGTTCTTACCAAAGTTCTGGAGCCCTGAAGAAGAAGTTCACATACAGAAGATTAAAATGGGCTCTCAGAGGAGACCCTGGTACAAGAAGATACAAGGCTTCAGGTGTGTGGGGCGTTCAAATCCAGTGGAATTATCTCATATATATTTAAACAAATATTTCAAATATATTCAGTAGCAATATCATGGATAAAGTTAATTCCTTGCTTCTTGCATAATCTTTTCTTACTGTTCTGCCAGACACTTTGCAATCTTTAAATAATGATTGCATGCCAATTTAACCTTTAAGATCCTTTAATTCAGAAATGGGTTTTCTGTCATTCACTGCATTTTCTATAAAGATTCCTCCCACTTACTTATTTTTCTTTTTCCCTGCTATTGCTCTCTTATCTTTCACCTCCCTTTCCCCCCCTCTCTGCTCCTTCTCTATCCTCCGTCCACCCGGCTGTAGCCATAAGAAGTCGGGCTCTTCGTCAGATGATTCGGACTGTGACACCAGTCCTTGGCTCTCCTCCGCCCCCTCTCACTCCGGCCCCTCCCCCTCTCACTCCCACACACACGAGGCCTCGGCTCACACCACCCTCATTGTGGGGAAAAGGTCGATAAAGCTGCATGATTGTGACAATGAAGGAATGATTTAGATCATCCAGATTTTCTAGGAGAACTATAATGTGCTCCTTTTGAGGCTGAATTTAGGATGAGCTGCTTTCTAATGTACTAATGCTTTTTTAAAAAGCTACTAGAAATTGCCCTAACACGCTTTATAGCACTAAAATAGAAAATAATCCTTCTCAGCATTACCCTATTTTTATGACAATCTATTCTAGTGAAGACTTGACACGCATCGCAGTTTGACTTCTTAGCAGAGTGATGTAAAATCCCTATTTAATCAAAATCAGTTTGAATCAAATATCACTACTGTGGCTGCTTTATGTATCTCTTCCTCCTTTTCTTGCTCTTTGGTTCATTTCACATGCATGCACTCATCACCTCTCTGTCCTTTTTCTCTTCTTCTGCCCAACCTGCAGTCCTCATATTCAAGCACACACTCTCCCTCAGCTCCCCAAGATACAGTCCCCTCTGTTAGAGACCCCCCCTCTGGTGTTTGCCCCAGTGGACCCTGCCTCGGGTCCCCGGCTGGTCAAATGTGAGAGGTGGCCCCTCTTAGGGCGCCAAGACCCCAGGGAGCCCCCGGATATCTTTGATTATGAGAGCATAATCCCTGATTTGGAGAATGATGACATGTTTACCAGGCGAACCCTTACCTTCCAGTCCAACACAGACATGGCTTTGATGAAGACGCAGCTGTCTGCTCACCGTCGTCTCTACACCTCTGAGCCGCAACTCAACATCATCACCCAGCGACACGGCATCACAGAGGAGAGTGAGTTCCCTGATATCGAGCAGGACGATGTTGTTTATCGTAAGGAGAAATCTCAGAAGGAACAGCGGCCCCTCTCCGGTGCCCCTGACAACTACGCCCCTATGTCCATCCCAGAGCCATGGGATCTGCCTCCTGAGCTCAAAGCCAGACTCCTGTGCCCCCCATGTCCTCTGATCCAGGAGGTAGCAGCAAACAAACAGAATGAGGATGCGAATGAGATGCGTCCTAAAACGGATGACATGCTGGTCAGGAAATGTGGAGTTTGTTCTGATCAGAGCCAGAGCTCTCTGATGACGCCCTCAGTGCCTTCTTTCTGTAGTGAAGGTGACCTGCAGAAATGGAAGGCTATCAGGGTAGCCAGTCAGCTGAGACATAGGAAGAGGCTCATGGTGGAGAGGCTGGCTGCTCTGAGGTTGAAGGAGAAGATTTCCGTAACAGTGCCTGTTGGTTTCTCCTCACCTTGTAGACCGTGAAAGGGGCTTGATTTTTTTCCCCTGTCTGATAGTGAAGTGGTCTAGACTGCATGTTGATCCCACTTGTTAAACGATTGGTTTGAAGGCTGTCATAGATAGGATATCAATAACAAGTCTTCCTTGTAAAATCTGATAGGTGCATTTAGACTTCACTGGGTCTGTCAAATAAACTGCAATGAAGGAGCAGCAACAGCTCAGACTTTTTGTGTTTTAAATGTTTATGTTGTTATTTCATGTTTAAAGTGTTTCCAGTCAGAAATAAACTGTAATAAAGTCCCTATGACATTGTAAGCATGGGGCCATTGGTGTAGTTTTCTGCATGATGGCAAAAACTTAATTTGACTTTAATGTGGAAATTATATCTACTGGTACTGTGTTTTTGAAGTGTGATTTTAGAACAGAAATCTACAACATCATGAATCAAAATGTGATTGATTCATCTAGAGAACTGTTGAAGAGAATTCAGAAATCTCTTCTGAGTTCAGAATTGTATCTTTGGTTTTGTTTTCCTATCAGACCGAATTTCTGTGAATGAAAAAATATTGCAAGCTTAATAAAGAAAATCTTAGACTTCATGATCTTGTGATGGATTGAATTGGCCCTTTGTTAACCTCATTGAACACATACAATAACACAGATCTGATCAGAGTTCGATGTCGATTTCCTCAGCAGAGGGAACTTCACACTGATATGTAAAGCTCAAAGTGCAGCAGCACGAGAGTGTGGAAGCGTTCAATCCTGAGTAATATCCAAACATAACTTCCTGGACACAATGACAGCACCAAGCGGGGCAAACTAATGTAGTCCTAAGCCGGCATGAAAGCCTATAGAAATTCCCCACAGCTCTGATATGAAGACGCGACTCATGGACTCCATAGTAACCTGAACACAAGTCTGTACTCTACTGTTTGCTCATGAACAGACACACACAAGCACACACAAAGCAACCATTTAACCTGGAGTCAACGCCATCTGGATTTACTTCACTTCCATATGTAAAGCCATGCTTCCAGTGACATCATGTCGCAGTCTGCAGAAAGACAGCTTTGTTTAAGGAAATATAAGTGTCTATACACTGAATGTCAGGGAAAGGAAAGGTAATACTGTGCTGCACGCCTACTCTACACACCTTAAACTGTAATCCCTTCAGTGTATAATGTAAAAAAAACTGCTGAGTCATGTTTTAGCTGGCTTTATATTCATTTGTATCACACCAGCTAGGAACAAGTTGATATTAAAGACAGTAATTGCCTGAAGCTCTTGACCAGGCCACTCTTAGACTTAGCCTCTTTTGCAAAAATGTGACTTTGTTGTGTGTGGTTCTTTCTGGTTCCCTAGACAGCACCAAATGCAAGAGAGTATCGACAGGTGAGTTGATACGGGCTCCCAGGAATGTGGCACGTTTGCATTTGCTCTGGCCTCTTACTGTCGCACCACGCTGCCCCCTGCTTTTGTGCTGCTGTTCTCACTCACTAGCTGCTAAATGCTGACACACAACACAGGGTATTGTATGGCACAAGGCCAAGTTCAGGGTGAGCCGGGACGGGGGCGGGATTCATTGCTCTGCAGGGATCTATTGACAACACAATAAAGTGAAAAGATGCGTACAACAGCAATACGCAGGGTCATCTACCTAGACTAGTGTGTCCCACTCAGAGTTATGACTGAGCACTGGTCTGAGCACCCTGATAACAAATCATAACAGGCCTTATTAGGTGAGTTGGGACAAAGAGCTTTTTTTTTATGGCAGTGAGTGACTTTGCTATTTTTGCTTGACGGGAAGGGCTGTGATATGTTACTAACCCACTGAGCTTACATCCCTCCACAGTTTGTTGTGGTTGACCCGTGTGCTGTGTTTTCAACTAACACTTGGTTACAGGTTAAATGTCTAATTATCACTATCCAAAAATATGGATTGGAGGTACAAGGTGGGAGTTATTTTGATGATTTCTCTTTCGAATGGTGTTCTCTTTTTGGTACAGTTTGATGTGATGGTTAGACAAGGTGCATGCATACTCAACCTGGACATTTGGATATTTTTTTGAATTTTGCTAACTTTTATTTAACCTTTTGTGAAGCTTGTGCCAGGATATCCATACTAAACATCCCTATCGCTTCTCTCTTGAGCTGCTGATATCCTAGTTGTTTTTAAAAGCGTTTCAACTCTTTCTTTCAACAGGAGTAAATCAACAAGTGATATCCAGGTTGATCCCAGCGTCAACCGGCAGGTTCGATACGAAGAGCTTCAGCAGGTTCGTGAGAAGACAAAGGAAAGTGATGATCAGTGGCAGGATGTGAGTATTACCTTTTATGTTTCTGCCATTGTGTTTATCTGAATCAAGACAAGCTGACTCTGGCAGAAAGAAAGTTTTGTTGTTAGAGAAAGATACATGATCTGAAAGGATCTGTGCGCTGATCAGAGAGCAGGTGTTGTGCTGCAGTCTGCGCCCGCAGGGGGGAAAGAGAGCTGTTTAGATAGAAGCCAGAGACGGAGATAGACAGTGATTGGTGCAGCACTGCCCTCTGGCTCTGGACTGCCCTCATTTCCAAATCAGTGCCTGAGGCAGGAAACGCCACGTCCTGTAAATACTAATAATGTAATTCATGTGAAATAGTGTTAAGATGTTATACAGACAGATGATGTAAGACAGACACCTCAAAATAATTAAATAAATGTATTAATCCATTTTAATTTGACCTGACAGTGAAAGTTATTCCTGGGGAAAAAAACGTTTTAAAGGGCAAGTGGTGCTCTAGTTTTGTGTTCCATCACATTTGATAATTTTTAGGTATATGAATTAAAAGAAACGTAAAGTTATTTATATTTATGTGACTTGCTTTGACAGTGGTGTGTCTTTCAACAGTCCAATAAGTGTCATGGCTAAATAATAGTCTTTAAGTAGCATTTAGGTCACACAGTCCCGAATACACAGGGGAAGTGAGCCGGGAGGAGCCTAAAGCACACAAATAGAACACCTTCAAATGAAGCCCTTTCTGTTTTTTTGTCTTTCTCTCTCCTTCTTAACTTTACTCCCTCCAGCTGTACAGTCAGCCATGCAACACAACAAGTCTGTTTTGAACTTGCCTCAGGCTGAATTGTTACAAAATGGTGCATGAGGTGATCTGGGCTTACTTTTTCTGCAGGACCTGAGCAAATGGAAGAACCGACGCAGGAGTGTCAACTCTAATATCGTGAAGAAGAAAGAGGAAAGGGAGAAGGTAGAGGAGACTACGTACAGCAGCGACAACAGAAGGTCCAAGACCCTCAAGGAGATGCAAGAGGAGAGGTAAGAGAAAGCACACCTTCATAGGGGCTATTGAGGGCAAGGATATGTTAGTGATAGATGTAATGCTTTAGAATTTACATTTGTATTAAATAACTTGTTCCAATATGTATTTGTTTACCCTCGGAGGGAGATCCTTTGCTAAGGTAATCAAATAAAAAGGTTTGTATTATAGCTTTTGTGGTATTAAAGATAGAGACCACAGTATTATTGAGCAGGAGTGATGGAGGAGACTGTCGTTGTGCCTTCAGTCAGTGTGAAAGTGTCATTTAATCATGGTTTATAACCAGTCTTATTTTTTTCTTTTTGCCCCGCCTCTCCTCTTTTGTACTTTTCTATTTTCATGTCATGTTTTCTCTTTATTTTCTAAAATCTATCCCTTCTCATCTTTATTTCACCCTTCACTGTCCACTTTTTTCCTATTGACCTCTTCTCCTATCTCCTCCTCTGTCTGGGCCACAGAGGAAATAAAGGAAGGAACAGCATCGGCAGCCGTATATCATCTCTGTCTTACCCGGACGACGACGAAGTCTTTGATAAACCTGTCACTTCCCCACGTATCCGAACCCTTCCTGCCAGGAGCTACACTATTGACACTCCTTACCATTCCTCTGAGCCTTCTCTGAAAGAGGTCGAACCCCCCGCTGCCTCCCCAGCTGCTAGCAGGGCCGCCTCCCCTCCAACCTCACGGGAAGTTGACATTGTGGATAGATCTGCAGGCAGCTACGCCACAACCACCAATACTCCCACCTTCACTCCCAGAAGCTGCAGATCTCCTTCTCCAGCACCTATAGAGAGGAGTCCTGTCACAGAACGCAACAGCACAATCAAGACAGAGGAGACCACCACCAACTTCACCCCCTCCTTCACTCCCAGCAGCCGCAGACCTCCTTCTCCAGCACCTTTTGAGAGGAGTCCTGTCACAGAACGCAAAAACACAGTCAAAACAGAGGAGACCACAACCACCTTGATCCCCTCTTTGATTCCCAGCATCCCTCCCAGTATCCGCAGATCGCATTCTCCAACTTTTGCACCTTTAAAGTGGAGTCCAGTCACAGAACGCAAAAGCAGAGTCAAGACAGAGGAGACCACAACCACAGTCATCTCCTCTTCTAGCTCCGTACAAAAGGTGCCGGAGCCTAGGCGCCCATTGTCGCGCATACAGACTGAGGTGGGGGCCCCCTCCTCTGGTTTTCTGTACAAACAACAACCACAGACCAGCTCGATGGAACCCAAGCCTCCCGGGGTGTCTCATGTTTCCGCCTCCCTCCCCAGGAGCTACCAGAAATCGGATAGCGCACGTATAACCTCAGTTGTCACGGCAAGGCCCTTCGGGACCCAGTCGTCCCGCCTCAGCTCCCTGCCCCGTCCATTCATAGTGAGTATTAGACATTTATACAACTAAAAACAAACTACCAGCACAGGACAAAGGGCTGAATGACATTTGAGGGCTTGAGGGGACAGTGTTTGTTTGGCAGGATTAAATGTTGTTCGTCAGGTACGGTGTTATTTGTTTTGAGTGCATCAATGTTATCCAAGAGTCCGATCTGATTACCTGGTGAATAATGGATGAAGCTAGTGTTTTTATAAGGCTAACTCGACTGACAGAGCTGCTATGTTCATCCTCCCTCACATTCATTACTGTTACTGTGCTTTCAGGTCAGCTAGTGACCGCAGGTGACGATTGTGGAAATCTATTTTTTTTTAAAAATATATTCTCCCAGTTTCTTTATCTATTTCATATTTCAATTGATTATTTTGCACTTAAAAGCCGTGAGTTAATCAAATATATTTTTACAATATTGTATAATTTCTTTCTTTTTTTGAAAATCTGCATTCAGGCCGGACAGACGGACACCGCTCAGAAGCGTGTCAACGGCAGCGCAGATGTTTCTAAGAAGCCGCCGGTGCAGAGCCGCTATCAACAGTTCATGACCTCTGAGGACGAGGCTCAATCTCAGTCCAGCTCAGTCCACAGCAGTGACGACGAGGAGGACGAGGAAGAAGAAGAGAAGACCACAGTGAAGGGCATGACCTCTACTAAGAGTGTCTCACCTGTCCCTCCTCAATTCAAGAGTGAAACTCCAGTCAGTCCTGCTCCTGCCAAAGAAACTAGCCAGGTAATTTCTGTAAAAAAATAGCAACAGGTAGGCATTTGATGAACAGCCATAAATGATTAATACAAGGCTTTCTTGCCAACGCTGGCCATGTTCACACAAAGACACACAACCTGACATGCTGCTATCCAGAGATGGAAAGCCTGGACCACATTTCTGCACTTAAAGTTGTTGTAGGTCTCTTCTCACCTGCGTTTTTTTTTTTTAGGAGAACTACTCTGAGATGCGGATCAGCCTGAACCAGAAGCCTAACAGCAGCAAAGACTTTGGCTTCCAGGCAGTGTGGGACTCGACAGGAGCTCGTGTCACCACCATCCAGCCAGGTAACAACAGAGATATTTGAAAGAAAAACAGTCAAACAAACACATTTCATTTTAAGTGTAGAGCTTTATTCACAGGCAGTATTACGAGTACTGGTCAGCCAAACTGGCAACCAACATTCCCAGTGATACAAAGGCGAGATGAAGTAGGCATTAGTCTTATCTGACTGATAATGGTAAACACAGATAGGATATATATAATGTTGGCTCCGTTATACTTTATATCCTTGCTGGGTAGTTGTCAGCAGGTTTGTAGGTCTGTTTTAGTGGCGTCGCCAGACCTATGTAGGGCAGCATCTATCTGGGTCAGATCTGCAGGGCCTGAGCCTCTCTTTCTACTGAGATTGCACCACCTTCACAGTATCTCATGTCATCTAGTTACGTTCCACTAATACTTAACAAAACACCAAACAATAATGCATGAACATAACAGTAGCTGTGTGACACCTGTTTGAACCTAGACCGTACTGTAGCGTCAATTTGTTCAGTTATGTTTCATTTCATTTTCATGTCTTTACCCATAAGCACTTTTATCACAATTTCTCTAAGTGTGCCAGTGTTGTGACGTAGAGGTTAAGAGAAGACATGATATAAGACACTTAAAAGACAACAAAATATTTAACATATGCGTGAATAAGATCAAAATAGCATTAGTAAGAAACCAAACATTGACGGCTATCCATAAAAAAGTAAATATAGTAATGTTGGTCAAGGCAGAAGAGGACCACACATGTCCATCTTACATAATCTTAAATAACAAAGCATTTTTATTTGCATTACATTTCTTGTTGTATTGAAGTGATCTGAATTCTTTTACACAAGTGAATCTCTAAAGACCTTCATGTCAGGTCAAATATTTTTGTTGTGGATATAGAATCGCATTTTTTAACTGTCAATTCTATATGTGAAGGATTACTCTGGTGAGACTGAAAACTGTAATATTTTGTAAAGCACTGTTTTATGCACGAACATTGACCTCTTATAAATGATAAAACTGTGCACTTTCTTTGTTGCTGATACCATTTTGCTCTGTCTCTTGCAGGCAGTCCTGCAGAGATTCAGGTGGGAGACAAGGTGCTGGCGGTGAACGGGCAGCAGGTGGCAGAAATGAGCTACACAGAGTGGAAGTCCTGCATGGAGGAGGCTCTTCACGAAGGCAGTCTGGTCATGGATATACGCCATCATGGCAAGAACAGTGAGTCCTATTAACACTGTCTGTCTGAGTGTATGAGTGGGTGTGGTGTTTGTTGGCGTGAGAATCAATTAACCCACTTTAAGGGTTGAATTCCTGGAATGACAGTACTGCTTATGCTTTGAGCGTTGCTAAACAGTTTTGACATTTTAAATTGGTCCGTAAACCATTGTGAAATCATCCATGAATGATTTCTTGACAGCTAAGTGGAGAAGGACCTGTAACTTTTTTTTCTCGTCTGACGAGAGAAGGCTGTTATTGTGTTGACTTCAGCAGTTCTTATTCCCATTTTTTCCCTGTGTGTGTTTTTCTTGTCATGTTTTTCCTTTTCTCCTACTTCTACTGTTTCATCAGCGTTCCTCTTTGTATCCTTGTGGTGTTTTCCCTATGGAGAACTAACCCAGTTTAGGTCCTCTGAGTGTTCTGTTTTCACAGTGTTAGTATAACAGGCTTACTTATCCAACTACGTCAGTGTCACTTTCCAAATAATAATAAACCACCGGAGTAGCTCACTTGAACTAACACACTGTACTTGTTAAAATACTTTAGTGAAGCCCAGTGGTTGTGAGCCTGTTAGAAACACTGTGTGGGTTTATGGAAGCTTTAATAGGCTGCATGGTTGGGGAAGGTTTCTCTGTCACACCCTGCTGCTCTCTATAATAACACCATAACAACAACCTTGTCCCTTGCTTTATAGACTTTTTATGTAAATAGACAATTCTGTGTCAAAGTTTCACATATACAAACGACTTCTGCACTCCCAGAAATGTTTGTTTTAGGTGCAAACAAACACATGCAATTTTTCGCTCTTGCATTGTCTGCATGCAGACTGGGACACAGATCAACCTTCCCTGCCATATAAAAGCCATAAGATCATCAATCTGACGAGTATGGATCATCCGACACTTCTAGGTTCCTCTGACTCAAACACTGTCAGCTCCAGCCTGGATTTCACCTCACGCACTTCCATGGAAAAGCTGGCAACCAAAGAGGCCCCCGCCTGCCCCGTCATCGTGAGTGACCCAGAATGAACTCAGGTTTGATCAAGTTGTATTTCTTTGTCGTGCCCCTTTAATGAGCGTGCGCCCTGCCATGTCTCCCTGCAGGATGTGGCTTCAAACAGAGTTAATGGAGGTTTCCTTGAGCAGCCGGTGACCATGAGGAACAAAGGTAAAGAGCAGAGCACACAATCTGAAAGGTCAGAAATGGATTTCTATTTCTGACCTGAATACAAAAACACATATTGATGTAATCTTGTTGACTAAGTTCTGGGAGAAACTTTTTGCAGACACTGGATTATTATAGATAGAAATGATGACATTTACTGTGTTATGTAACAACATGATGCACCATAAACTGAAATGTATTATTTGACATCTTGAGCAACACTTGTATAATCTATTTATTAGTAAGATCTTATCACCTGGTAAAACATGTTTTTCTCCTCACTGTTTTCCATCTCTCATTTAGAGTCAGAACCCATATCTTTGAAAAACTTAAAACGGAGGTCAGAGTTTTTTGAAAAAGGTAAAAAAAAAAAACTGGGGGGCGGGTGGCTCTTAATAATAATGGTAATGGGTAATCTGTGTAATCTGGTTGCTGGGTTCTCTGTGCTTTTGTCTCACTGTCTCAAATTCTTCTGATTCTCAGGGAAGTGTTGCATGTTTTTTTATCAGTAACAGCTTCATGATCAATTGATAAGTATTATCAATTGATCATGAGCTGTCGGGATTAAAATAGGTTCCTCTATGAGTTTAACCATTGTGCTGTGCCACTTCCCTCCTTCAGGTGGCTCAGGGTCCAGTGTCAGTGCGCTGGTCTACCTCTGTGGTAAAAAGGGTGTAGTGTGCAGTGACTTCCTCACCTTCGCTTGGTACAATCTGGGACACTGACATGCTTTTCAAACCAAGGGAGTCTAGGGATATTTGGGGCAAATTAAGCAATTTTCTCCTCACAAACCAAACACACTTGGTTTATCTTTATTTGTTTCAAGATGAAGGTATAAAACTATCAGTTCATTACATTTTTGTTTCATATAGAAGAAACCCATACATTCTTTTTGAAGAAAAAATAAAACACTATACAACTACGACAACAACAACAACAACATATTCAGCTCCAAACGTTGGACAGCATGTCAGACATCAGGCCAGCGTACCAACCACAAATACCATTCTTTAAAGCCTCTAGTGTTTGTGGTGTTTTTATGATACTGTCCAGGTTTAACACATGGTTACACTTTTCACTCTGCTGCGCATGAAGTTAAAAGCATTCCTGTTGCTCTTTCAGCATGCATGTATTGAACTGTTTGTTAGCCTCTCAGACTGTCTGCGCTGTACTTGTATGCATCCTAAGTATGCATGCTGCTCATGTGTGTGTGTTTTGCTTCCAGTTAGTATGCTCTTGTTGTACTTGTTCCTATATTTGCAAGTATTGACTGAAATCCAATCTAAATGTCAACAAGTGGTTGATCTTGAATTGAGAAAATCAATAATTTGAAGTGGGTGCAATGATGCCTTTTGAAAACATCAATTGTGTTGTTTTAAATTAGATTTTAAATGATGATAATTGACTTAAAAATCAAGAAACTTTTCATAGGCCTGTCAACTCTGTGTTGCTACAGTATTTGACCTTCAGGTAAACCTTATCGTTTTTGTTCTCTCTGTCCATGTCAGAAGTATTGATCGTATGATTGTTCTCTTTTCAAGGAGGATCAGAGTCTGCAATGCCAGATGTGAGTAGTATTATCAGTGCATGAATGGAAGTGTTGTCTCTTTTGATTTGCTTTCTGTTATAGCAGAACAATATCCTTAAACCCAAAGTTATTTCAGATTCTAGACCTATTATTTATAATCTCATGTGCACCACTTCTGGTTCACTTTGCTTCTCAAGCGTTTAAGTCAGCCAATAATCATCTTGGATTGCAGGAAGCTTGAATACTCAAATGTCTGAGAACAAAATATGTTGTAAAGCCTTTTCAAGCTGAATTGATCCCATATATTTGACAATAATGCAAAGTCAGTTAGGGGGTCAGATCGTATACATTAGTAAACATGACTACTACAGTTTAACAATACTCTGCTACACGTAGGCCTAATCATCTAAAGAACCATACATTTAGCAAAAAGCAAAAGTATCCCATTTACAGAATTACTTGAGATCTAAATATATCATATGACTGGATTTAATTACTTTGTATACTGTGTGGTATCCTAACCCTTAAAATGTCATACTAATATATTATTTGATTTGAGATTTTGAAATAACAGTATAAAACTAAAGCTTTCAGAAAATGTAGTGAAGATACAATTACAATATGTTTTTGACTAAATGTAGTGAAGTAGAAGTATAAGCTTTAATAAAATGGAGATAAGTAAAGTACAAGTATCTGAAAATTGTTCTAATGTGCAGTACATAAGTAAATACATTTCACCACTGGATGCAGTTATATTAAAATAACAGGATTATTTTCTTTGCTTTAAAACCATAATCAGGTTATAGTTAGAGGTTTTAGGAAACATCTAGTATACACCAGGTTTGTATCCGTGGTCAGTTGCATAGATACGTTTGATGACGTCACAAGCCTCAATGATTGATGCCCTATTGATAATACAAGCAAGTGCATTTATACTGCATGTTTATTTTCTGCAGATTCTTGTTCCCCCAATCATTCCTTCCAGCCGCTGGTCCTGGGACCCCGAAGAGGAGCGCAAAAGACAGGAGAAATGGCAGAAGGAGCAGGAGCGCCTCCTACAGGTACACAAAGACAGACTCATATGGAACTACTTTATTGTATGTTACAATGTGCACTCAGCTGCCACGTAATTAGGGACAACTTGCTCAAAAATGAATGCAGGGCAATGAATGTAATAATAATAATAATCAATTATATTTATATAGCACTTTTCTGGAACTCAAAGACGCTTTACAGTGTGAGGGAGGGTAGACAAACAAGGACAGGCAAAAACAAACAAAAACAACAAAATAAAATAAATAAATATATTAAAACAAAAATAAAATAAACAGGAAAGGCAGTCAAGAGGAAGTTGATTGAGAGGGGGGGGGGGCTTATGGATAGACAGAGTTGAAGAGATGGGTTTTGAGGCGGGACTGGAACAGGGTGAGGGACTCAGAGTCACGGAGGTCTTGGGGGAGGGAGTTCCAGAGCTTCGGGGCTGCCACAGAGAAGGCTCTACCCAAAGCTCTGGAGTTTATTATGAATGTAATGTGTTATACTGAGAGAGAAACGCTTAAAATAAGCGTAAAAATCCACAAACAATGAAATAAAAATACTCACGATGAATATTTGGAATAAAATACAATTAAAGGTGGGGTAGGTAAGTTTGAGAAACCGGCTCGAGATACACTTTTTTTTATATTCCATGGAATGCTCTAAACATCCCGATAGCAATGAATATCTTAAGTGCTTTGACAATAAATCCATAAAAAAATGTCATCTGTGGAAGCCGTAATACTGTAAAAAGCACGACCAATCATCTGAGCCGGCCCGGCTAAAGTAACTGGATGGCCTACCTGCCTGTCAGCCTTCCATCTGTGCACAAACTTATCTCGTGCCCTCATTGGTCATGTGCGCGTTCGTGTGTGTTGGAGGAGGGGCTCTGTAAGGAAGTGGCAGATTTTTTTCAGCTGTGTATTTTCAAATTCTAGCTCACTCGAGTTGGTTTCTCCAAAATGACCTACCCCACCTTTAAAACCAAAATAACTAAACAATCAAATTAAATAAATGTTTTAGTTTTTTAGTTTTATTTGATGTATACCCGTGTAAGACACGTTCATTTCTTTGCATTTTGCAAGAATCTTTTTCTGATTACAAGGATAGCACTATATCGAGTCTGTGGGACTGCAATTTAGCAGCACCCAAAACGACACCCACTTAAATGACACTGAAGTTGATCAAACCCTTTATCCGACAAAAAGAGACGAGACACAGAGCTTGAAATGCTTGGAATCCTCACAGTCAAAGCTGATGGCTCCTAATAGGCACAACACAGAAAACCGTACGGGGCTTTGACAGCTGAAAGTAAAGCATCTGTTGAGTATATATATGTATATACTGTCTAAACATTTTCAGAGGGTCTATTTCTGGATGGAGATCAAAGTTGTCCAAACAGAGCGCTGTAGCCGGGAAGGCTTGTTACTCCTCCGATCTAAATCCCTGTTGAATACACGGCCTGATTTCATGAAGCCAGGGAGACTTCCTGCCATGGGCAAGCTTCACTAGGTTTATAACTTGTTAGTGTGGTTACATAACATGTAGTTGAGCTTGGAATATTTTGAATATAATACAGCCACAGTATTGTATGCGACTATTCATGTATATTCAATGTGGATGACCTTTGACCTCCCTTCCTGCTCTTCCTATCCAGGAGAAATATAAGCGCGACCAGGAGAAGATGCAGGAGGAGTGGATGAAGGCTCAGCAGGACGTGGCCGACAGCGTAGAAGAAGAAGAGGTAAGGAAAACATTTGATCGTGTATAAATTATGGCCTAACATCAAAAACTGCAGGGGGGTTTCTAAAGCAGTTATTTTTGGCATGTTGATTTCACATCAAAGAGGCCCTATTATGCATGTTGGGGTTTTGCCTTTCCTGTATAATCTTACATAGGTTTGTGTGCATGTAAATGGTCTGCAAAGGCTAAACAAAAGTTCACACCAGACGCCTCGATTGGTCTCCTTTGTTTATTTCAGAAAAATATAGCACTTTTTGAACATTCACAGTCACAGTGGAGCCACAATGAACAAAACCTGAAAATGTACTTTTTGTCAAGACAAGTCAATAAATAGCAGAACAATGAATAGTCATGTGGATTCAACTTACAACATGTCTGGCTATACTTCCCGAAATGGTCATAATATTTCCCGCTGATAGTTTTGCAACAAAAATCCCCCTAAATTTGAATTTCCAAACAGTCTGGTTTGTCACCTCAAGGGACGACATGAGTTTCTCCGCTGTTGTTGCAGTTCCTCCTGGAGGTTAAATGATTCATGCCCTCATGTGCTTCCTCTTTCCGTCCTTCCTTTTCCCTAGGAGCCAGAGAGCCTGGTGGTGGACAGACACAGCCTCAGCCCACACTCACCCGTCTCCCCCTTCAACCAGCCAGCCTTTCCTTCATGGGAGGAGGAAGAGAGAAAGAGGAAAGCGGAACAGGAGCGCCAAAGGCTGGAGGAAGAGCGGGAACGCCAAAGACAGGCGGAGGAGCAGGAGCGCCAAAGGCAGGCGGAGGAGAGGAGGAAGAGGGAGGAGGAGGAGCGTGAGCTGCTGCGTCTTCAGGAGGAGAGAAAGCAGAAAGAAAGGCAGGAGGAAGAGGAGAGAAAGATGAGGGAGGAGGAAGAGCTGAGATGGCAGAAGAGGAGAGAGGAGGAGAGGCGACAGGAAGTTGCAGAGCATCAGCGCAGAGAGCAGGAGAGAGCCCTGCAGCAGCAGCAGCAGTGGTCAGTAGAGACACCGCTCCTCCTGGAAACACTAACACTCGCCTGTCCATCATGTTGATAATAACACATTTAAGTAGAAAACATAACCTGCTTTCTGTCTGTGCATTAACATAAGTGCAACTAATGTGTTTGCATGTGCTTTGTGTTGTAACCCTTGTCTCACCCCTCCCTCACACTACCAAAGGGCTGGTGACTCCCATGACTTTGCTAATGTCCAGCCGTCTCTGTCCTTTACAGACAGGTCAGTACTGTACAGGACGGACTGTGTTTGCCTTTGTCAAAGTGCATCTGCAGTCATAACATAAAGCTATTTGTGCTCATATTACCTGCTTGCTTCATATCATATTATAAAAATGCATAACAACTATCTCTTACAATGTATTATAGCATGTCTGAATAACAGGTTGTATTGGCAACACTTTAATTTAGGTCCTCAAGTTTAGTATTTATGAGCACTACAGTATATGATACTTTAATACATGGTAGTTTGGAGCAGATATAAGTGTTTGTTAATGTATTTGTAATTTATACATAAAAATATGTCTTCATACCATAGGATAGAGTTATCTTGTCTTATCTATATTATACACACAATTCTCTAAATCTGCTTACAACTACATTATAACCCAATTAATAAATGTCTGTATTCTGCTTGATAGGGGTGATTCAATGTTGTATTTGATATCTAAACTAATTAATGTTGCCTTCATGTTAGAATGTCCACATGTCTTGCTCCAGGTTCACCTTTTTTAAGTTCTGTATACCAAAACAGTTTCTCACAAGCATTCGATACTGAAAAACGTCAAATAAGAACAATTTGTCGCACAAACACCTAAACCAGATCCATAATTAGACATCACAGGTAGTAAATCCTGTTTCTCGTCTGTTATATTTACAAAACATTTATCAGTACATATACAAATTGGCAACTATTTACTGCATAGCTGATGTGTCAAAGTATTTACCACACTCTTTTTATGGCTCTATTTGAACCAAATAGTCCCCCAGCAAGTGGTTGGGTCTCCAGCTGAGATGAAAATTGCCTGTGATTGGTCTGCAGTTTCTTTATATAACCATTATTAACTGTGCTATTTCTCATAAAAACTTGGGAACTTGAGGCAACAAACATTTTGGAAAATATATGGCTTCTTCCAAAATGATTTTGTTGTTATTTATTTATTAAAATCTGGCTCCAACTGGTATTTTATTGTTTGACAGGACGAAATCTCAATCATCTCCCCAGCTCGATGAAGAGGAAAAACCTCAGAGAAAAGGTACGTTTTCTTTCTCCATTAGTTATAAACTGATGAATTCGATGTAAATGCAGCAACAACATGAGACCAGGAATATAAGAACATTCAAATGTTGGTTTCAAATGTGTTTCTCTTTATGCTGGTTGTTATAAAAAGGACTCAATGTATGCATGTTGTTGCACATACGTGTACATATTATACAGTATATGTGGGCTGTAATCTGCTGTAGGTGTTTATATGCAGCGGGGGGGCATGGCTCACTGGCTGCTGGAAGAGCAGGCGAGGAATGCGAGTCAACAGGCCCAGAGTCAGCGGGCTGCGTCAGAGCTGGAGATGGAGAGGAGGAACATCCTCAATGCCATGAGATACAGAGAGCCGGAGAAAGGTCTCATTATCATGATCAGTCAATTATGAAATCTCACCGAATCAAAACGGTTTGATTAACAATCATTTGGTAGATCAATTGTTCGGCCAACAAGAAAATTACAGGCAGCGAAAACAATTAACTCATTGATTGCAGGGTAATTTCTCTCAGCCTGCTTCCATAATTTCATTGCACTTAATAAAAGAAAGGTCAAATCAAGACTGGGGAAAAATCGTATCATCACAATCTTGTTCCTTCTCCAATTTCTCCACCAGTGATGATTTGTTTTTCAGTTTCTAAAGTGTATCTCTCCTCTCTGGGTGCAGTGACAGGCGGTGTTGTGGGGGACAGGATGGGAAAGCAGTCCCAGTCCCAGGCGGAGCTGGAGCGCCAGCAGATCCTGAACGAGATGAAGAAGAAGACTCCGATGCTGAGGGACAAAAGCTGGATCCGCCAGAACTCAGCCGCCATCGGCACCACCCAGGAGTCCCACGCACCCTCAATGCGCAGGTAAAGTCTCCCCAGTGTGTATGAGAGTAAAGTAACCCTGTTGTGTTATGATGGTGGTTGGCCTTTTACTAATATCCTGATAATGTGTGAGGATGAAAACATTTAGAAGTCTGGCTACAACTCATTTGGCAAATATGACCATTACTAAAATATATAAACATTCAAATAAATTCCATAGTTTGTAGCCAGACATTTTAAATGCCTCTTATGGGCTAACGTGGGTGTGGTGTGGGTTGGCTTTGCAGAGGTGAGTCTCTTGACAACTTGGACACCTCCTACAACTCCTGGCGCTCCTCATGGACCCCCAGAAGCACCTCCCACATCCCAAACTACTCTGCGCCGTACTCTGGTGGCCCTTCCCTTTATGGTGGTGGTATTGGGGGCCAGCGTCCTGTCTCCTCCACCCTGCCTTCCTCCTACTCCATGGGCTCCCTCCGAGGCGGGGCAGGACCCCCCTCGTCCCCTTGGTCCCGGCAGTCTTCTTCCCCTTCTCCTTCCTCTCCATCACCTGCCACTTCTCCAGAGCCCACGTCAGAGGCAGGCGCCCCTCAGCAGCGCAACAGGTACAATTAACAATTCTGCTTCGCCTAACCCCCCCAACAGCTGCCTCTAAACTCTCACCGGTATTCTGGGTAACATATTCATAGTCCAGGTGGTGCTGTGGAAACATAACTGTGTATGGGGAAGAAAGTGGTGGGAAAGGGGAACTGAACTTCATCTGATTTCAATTGTTCTACTTTTTAATGTATTACAATATTATGTTTTTTTTTAATGTTGTTTCATGTCCTTCTTACATTTACCCTCCATATTACAGTTGACAGGTTGACAATCATTTACAATCCTGTTTTTATTTACAGAAACTCCGTTCATACTTACAGTAATAATTTGAGTTTGTGTTCATGTGTTGCATAGCATCAGCGGCTCATACTTTCCAATGTTTGGTTGCCAGATCTTTAAATATCAAAATTTGAAATAATAACTTCATCATAGTTTTATTCTTGTAAACAAGAATAGGATACATAATTGATGCATTTTAATAGGTGACTGAACAATCTATCTAATGAAAAACATGTCTACGTATTTCTTTACAATGTTTCAAATGGAGCTGTTGTCAACGAGCAGCTGTTTCCTCTAGCGGGGGACATGATTGGCCCTCAACCAAAATCAATATTCATCAAAAGCAAACAGATGATTTCTCATTGTAACCCTTTTGTGTGCCTTGTCATGTGTAAACATGAGTTTTGCGTGTGTGTCTGCATACATACATGCGTCATGTATGTGTGGAACGCTCTCAAATCACAGCTGTGCGTTCTGTAATCCAGGTCAGTGAGTGGCAAGAAAATCTGTACGTTCTGTGACACCCCGCTGGGAAAGGGAGCAGCCATGATCATCGAGTCCCTCGGGCTCTGTTATCATTTGACCTGTTTTAAGGTGAGAGCTGGGCTCGTGTGCCCCCCCCCCCCCCCTCCTGGAGCACCTCGGCTGATCCTCAAGCGCTAACATGATCACACCTTTCCTTGTATGACTAACCTGGTGACACTCAAAGTCTTGATCCCTTTACAGCCGAGCAAAGTGTCTGTGCCAAATCCTGCAAGACAAACTAATCAACCCCTCCCTCACTTTGTCTCTTACTACCAACCTTTGATTGTTGATTCTTCCCAGAATGCTGGTCTTCTCTTGGGTTTGGTCTCCAGAGATCCCTCCTGCAAATCTGTGACTGTCATTTCTTCTTTTTCCTACATTTTTCTCTTTCTATACATGAAATCAAGGGGCTTCTGTCATCCCTCCGCCTTTGGACTTGGTCCCTTTGGTCTAGCTTGAAATCTATTGAATAGCTCTTAAACTTTTGCCTTTCCTGAACTCCCTCAGTGCATCGACTGTAAGTCTGAACTCGGGGGATCGGAGGCTGGGGCTGAAGTCAGAATACGAAACAAACAGCTCCACTGTAACTCCTGCTACATCCGGTATAAAGGTGAGTCCAGCATCAATCTGATCGACATCATGACGTTTTATTTTCCGCTTCCTTTACGTGTAATATCCCTGTTTCCTTTCAGTTGGCCAGCCAACCTCTATGTGACGTGACTGTCCTCCAGCAGATCGATGAAGAGACTACTTGTGACAACAACCCATGAACATTTAAGGGAACGTTGAAGCCATTGCAAATAGCTGGGACACTTGGTATGGACATGTTTCCATTAATGAAAATCTCAGTTGCCTCGCTGATGAGAATTATATTCGTGTGTGATTGAGAGGGTAAGCTTGCAAAGAAGTTATCTACTTTAATGTTTATATCATATTAAGTATTACACAATGAAAGGGTTCTGCATGCGCCAGAGTTATTAAATGTTTAAGCCACAAAACGAGTCAATACGTTAAATTGTAAGATTGTTTATGATCTTTGTTATGACCTTCGCTTATAAAGATATTAGAGATCTTGAGAGAGCTTTAAAGATTTCAATCTCCTCTTACACATGCTTTTATTTCCGCTCAGTCTTGTGGTATTAACATGTTTATTTGTTTTGTTTGTAACAGGGAAAAGTAATTAAGATTACTCTATTAGCATTCTTGCAAAACCTATTTAAAACCGTCTGCTTGGATAGCACTTGTCTGGAGTTTTCACTTGTACACACAAGCAGGTTTTCGTGTAAAGAATATATAATACTGAATGGCATTGAGGCAAACCGTAACATTTGTAAATAAAATGACTATATGTCCCTGGTGTTTTTGTTTACTTTTTTCAGCTGTGAAATTGCATAATTATTTGTAATGATATTACTCAGATGGTGCAAAGCTTTCCCTGCTTCTGTAATCAGAAATCATTATACTCATCTCTCTCTGTCCGTCCCTCTCATTCTCTGTTTCTCTGTAGTGCCACAGTCATAAGGAAAGGAATTTCAATGAGCTTTTGTGCAAAGGTTCAGAGGACCTGCCTGCTTTGTGTGCGCTGAAGCCAATTTGTCATGCATATTTCATTCGGTGCACATGCATTACATTTGAGTACACTTTGATAAGCTATTTTCTGAATGTATTCTATCATTTCGGCTGTTCCATGAAATAATATCTGCATAAACATATATTGAATATTCATACAAGCAGGGACCCTCTTGGTTGTTCAGTCTGCAGCTCCCAAATGGATTTCAGCAGCCAGGTAAGAAATTGTCCTAATTTCCCCAAAAATTGGAAATAGGCTCAATTGAAGCAATATATGGAAATAAGATGGACCCGGAATAAATTGGCTCTTGTTTCTCAAGCCGAAGCACAAACAGCCCCAGGAGGCAGACATCTCAGATTCCTAGATCTTTTTTTTTCCTTTTTTTCTTGGCACCCACGTGGGAGAGAGAGATTTTAATCCTTATGCCTGAAAACAAGTGCGGCCTGAATGGCAGAAAGCTGAGAAACATAAAACCTTCCGGGATAAATGTGCCATTTTTGTCCTCCAAAACCAGGGCCACAACTGTTTTTATAGAAGGCTTTGACGTGGATAATCAGATTACTTGGGTGTGTATTTACACTTGGATGCTCAGATGAATATGTTCTGTATAAAAAGATGGAACAAGGAGTTTAGATATGCATGCTCATCCCTCCATCAAAAACTAATTTGAAACTCAAAGAACAGCTTTTTCTCTCCCTATTGAAGAAAATATATGAAATGTTCCAGAAGATTTCCAGTCAGACCCTTGTGGATGATTTGTCCTTTTACAATCAACACACAAAGTCCAATCGTCATTCTCCATGTCCACACACTAAGCTGTGACCAGAGGGGGGCGCTGTGATCTAACATTATTTACGAAGATGCGCTGATGTGATGCTTCAGCTGCAGCTGGATGGTAACAGCTACTGTTTGCACACTAATCTTTATGAGAAGTAGAGATGCTTTAGCCTCTGAATTAAGCTTTAGTAATTTATAAGCTTATTGTCCTATGAAATATGCCAAACGGTTGTGTGGTTACATTTGAAAATTAAATATAAGTGACATAGATTTTTCTTAATTAAGTGAATTGTTCACTAGAATGTTTAAACCACATTTTTGACTCACTTTTGACAAAGAATGATTTTATTTTTGATTTAAAAGACTACAGCACAGGGACGGCTTTTCCCCCTTAGAGAAAGCCACCAGGCATTAATTCACCTGCAGCTCCAACTGATGCTATAATTAGTCATGTAATTGCAGATACCGTCTCACCAGACCTGTTGCCATGGCTTGCAGGCAACATGCGTACATTTTAAAGAGCTATTAAACCTTCAATTACCTACAGGGATTAAAGAAAATTGACTTTAAGTAAACCTGTGAATTCCCAGAAGAATAGGACGAACCTGTGAGTGAATTTTCCCTTTATGGAAGCATTACATTAAATGGAGAACCTTTATCCTGGAAAAGGTGCACATTTGTAAGAAATCCCTTATATCCAGACGTCCATAAAAGTATGGTCAGGCAGTGCTGTCACATATATGGAGACATTTAACATGATATTAGACCTGGAATAGTAATTGTATTCATAAACTGTAATTACTTTGGCAATTACAGTAAATTATGAGGTGCATGATTCATTTAATTCTTCACATGCTTATTCAAATTATAATAAAAAATGTAGGTGGAGCTGAATATGCTGTGAATGTAAATGTAGTGCAGCTCACATGCAATATAGGGAGTTTAAGGTGGTCATTAAGTGTAAAGATGTTTGCTCACAGCATGTTATCCATATGCATTCTCACAGTTCTAGCATTAGTTTTAATGTATCGTATTGCCAATTTTAAAACTAAAAGGTTTTCAATTTAAGATGGTCTTTGCAGGTGTTCTGTTTCATCTCTGCTTGCTGTTAACCCAAACCTGTTTTTCAGGTCTCAGGCTTGAAAATGACATTTCCAGAACAAATGACCATATCTTCCCTTCTAAAAGGGGAAAATGAATAATCTTTTTTCTCAAAGTAATGATAAACCTGTGAGTTGGATGTAGAAAAGTCAGAATCAAGATGTTTTTTTATTTTAAAGAAAATTCAGATTGAACATATTAAAAAAACTGTAAATTATAGTGTCCGTCCAAAAATTATTTTTTACTTAGTGAAAACTACCCTTGGATGATGGGTTAGTAGACTAAAAGCTTTAGGAATCCAAAGTACAACATAAGTACCCTGTATCAAGATTGATGCAAAACAAGTGACATTTGACCTTTTAGAGAGGTTTAGCAACAAAAAAACACTTCTGGGGTCATTTGGGTGGATTTTACCTATCTCTGGCCCCCCCTTGGTCGATGTTGATGATTGACATCTCTTTTTATCCACTAGAGCCAATGGAATCGAGGGAAAGTTCCACACACACACACAGGTTACCAAATAAGGAGTGAGAGTGACGCGTAGCCAAAACCGGAGCTGCGCCACACTCTGGTGGCTACCATTAGCAGCTCATTTTTATTCTCCAATTTTTGCATAACAATTGAATTATGGATTATCAATAATTGTTTCAAAGTGACAGACACATTGGATTAACCTATGGATTAACCTTCAGCCGCGTTTTTTCTCGTTTTAATGCCATTGAACACGACTTTTGATCAGAATAACAGCTAAGGTGAGCATACAAAGCTACTCGTGTGTTGTCTGTATTTGCTTCCCCTGTCACGAGTTCTGATCGCTCAGTGATGATCCTTATATTTCTATAATCTGTGGAATCTCAGGATGTTAGCTAAGCTTGTTTGTGCAGATCCAATAAGTGTATCGATCGGTATAGCTAGAGTTCTCTGCTAACGCCCTTGAGATTTTTTCGCTCAGGGCTAATTCAGAGGCTCAGCGTTAGCCTTGTGTCTTTTTTTGCTAAAAAAAAAAATCATCAGTTAGCTGAGTTTCTTCCCGTTACATGGATATGAAACATTCATAGTTTCATATCCCTCAGACACTGTTGCTTGCAGATGTTCAGACCCGCCGAAGGGTCCGTGGGGCTTAAGAGGTTAACAGTGTCCTTTATGGCTGCATGGCACAGGTGGTTATCCATTATTGATTATCAACAGATAATCACCCCTCTCTTCCGCAGAGGTAAAATCCCTTTTTCAAACTTGATTGAGATATTGATCTGTGACCTTTTGTGCAATGAGGAAATGATCCGCCTGGATCCCTACTTGTTCTCATTATGAATGCTGACTCTAATCCTTGACTCACGAAAGGGCAAATCCCAAAGGATTCTACTCTGGAGCAGAGGTGTGTTTGTTAAATAACGCTGGATTCATTTGGAGACTGGAGGCTTAAAGTAAATATGACACATTCACAAGAGATTTGTTCTCTGTAGACAATCATTAAACATGAGTCATCATGAGTAATGCCGTCCTCCTTTCTCCGACTCAAATAATAACATTTTGACAAAGGAGGAAATTTCTCTCCTATGTTTTCAAAAGAACTGCGTGTCTGCAGGAAAAAGGTCCAACAACCAAGAGAATGTTTATCCAAGGGCAAAAAAATAAATCTTTTTTTATCTGTGTGTGCAAGAAGACTCCATGCAGCCATGTTACAATCAGGAACAGGAACATCTGTGATTTCTTGCTGTGACCTTAAAGAGAACTGCGATTTATTTTCGTTCCTGTACTTAGTGTCTGAGGAAGGAAAAGTATCGCTGGCAACCAGATGCAGTAGAGTTTATTTTCCAGTTTGTGGGTAAGAGCAAAAGTGTGTAGAAAGGGTATATGGCTTTGAATTGATAAGACTGCATGGTCACAGCTGGGGCACCCTGATATGCTTGAGACTGCATTATACCCGGGGTGACATGGGACCACATTTTCTGTCCTCATTTGAATTCATCCTGCTTCAGTCGTATATGCAGAGCATGAGCTGAAATACTGATTCTCAGTTAAGCACTCTTTAGCGGATGTTGCTATGTGTTTCAAACAGGGGAAGGTGAATAAGATGAGAGCAGTAATTTCCTGAGGCTGAATACTTTCAGATGTATCCACAAGCCTGATGCTCATAATTTCAATCTTCAGCGTTAGCAATTCCTTTTAGCAGCAGTACCTGGCAGTCTGCTGCATCAAACATCCCAACATGCAGACAGATGTGTGACAAAGGAGGACGCAGGGACCAAATGGTTGCATATGTCAATTCCAGTTTAGATCAGTCACACTAAGCAAAGTGGAATTTACTTTATGAGTTGCAGCAGCAGGCACAGTGGTCGGCTTGGAAAAAGCAATGCTTGTCCGTCACAAACTGACAGATATCTATTGAAGTTCATCACCTCATATGTCACCCCATTTACCCTAGCCTCTGCTCACTTGTCACCCAGGATTGGTGTTAATTGGAATTTTATCAGAGGAAAACTTTAAAGAGAAGGTGTTACATACTCAAACCTGCCCTTCATTTGATGTCAGGTGATTCATTTTGATGTTTGCACTTTGCACAAATCCCTACAAAGACAGAGAGGGAGGTATGATGAAGGCTCTGTTTGAACCTGCCACCTTCATATATTAGCCGAGGAAAAAATTGCTTTTAAATGTCATTATATTGTTTTTTTTTCGTTTTACAACATTGGACAAGAAAATCAACTTTAACTATTTTATTTAGTTTTATTTCTCGTGTTATGTAAGATTGGTGTATTCAGTATACACCAATCTTACATAACATGAGAAAAAATAGTTAAAGGAGAGTTATAACAGGACACACATCAAGTGCGTGCAAGGCTATCAGAAAACAGTGTCAATGGATAAAGGTACACACTTACTCAATGCCACAAAAGTTACATT